TCAGGATGTGATTGAAAGCGGCGAGAGCATCAATCACAGTAAGGGCTTCCTTGTCTGTTGTTCCATAGTTCATCTGTGAATTAGTGAACTTCCTGCTGTGTAATGCCGCCGGTCTTGCCGTTTCATGGGAGGCCCCTTGCCCAACCCATACTCCAACTCCAACATCCGATGCATCAGTAATCAGCCATATCGGTTCTGGTTTACTATAGTCAATAGGTTGAATAACGTTGCCGCTTTTAATCAACTCCTTGATGTTGGTAAAGGCTTGGTCATGAATGTGGGTCCAGACAAATTCTGCATTGTCGGTAAGGTCCGTGAGCGGCGCTGTTACAGTGGCGTGATGTGGTAGGAACTGGGAAATATAGTTAACTAGTCCTAGGAACCGCATGAGTTCTTTTTGATTCTGGGGTGTCGTCCATTCCATTAAACAGGATATTTTTCCAGGGGCTGCATGTATTCCTTCATCATCTATAACATGTCCAAGGATATCGAGTTTATCAGCAAACAGAATTGATTTGTTTCTGCTAGCGTAGAATTTAGCTTCTCTAAGTTTGGTACAAACCAAACCTATATGGTAGGCGTGTTCTATTTTGATGTTCGAGAAGATGAGAACATCATCAATGTAGACCCAAACAAAATGGTGGAGGTATTTGCTCAGGAGGTTTTCCATAATTCGCATAAAGGTGGCAGGCGCATTCATATTACCTTGTAACATAACTTGGCTAATGAAACTTCCGAAGGGTGTTTTGAAACTGTTGTAGCATTCACTTTCTGGATCTAACCTTGTTTGAAAGTAGGCATCGCTTAGGTCACTCTTACTTCGGAATCTAGCCCGTCCAACTGCATTTAGGATCTGGGTTTGGTTTGGGATAGCGGAGCTGTCCATAACTGTGTTTTTATTCCATAGCTTGAGGTCAACCAAGGGGCAGATTCTTTTTCCATCTCCTTTGGGTTAAACAAACATAGGGGCGGCACCTGGGGCTTCTACCCGGTAGATGACTCCTCTTCTTTATTGTTGGTTGATCCAATCACAAAGTGGGCTTTTGTATGCGTCAGGAATAGAGTAGGTGGGTTGGTTCTTGAAATTAGAGGGGTCTCAGAGGCGAATGTGGTGATTCACCTCTCTCATAGGTGGTAGTTCTTCAGGTATTTGATCAGGGAAAACATCAGAGTATTCATCCAATAGTCGTTGGACAGTTGCTTCACAGACTGCGGCTCGGTACTCTCTGCTTGTTGGCTTGCATGAGACTCTGACCTTCTGATCTGGGAGATCGATGGTTGATTCCCCACACCTGATTATAGCTTTGTGGCGGTTCAGGAATGGTATACCTATTAGGGCATCGTATTTGGCTATATTTCCAACCAGCATTTCCTGGGGGGGTAGTATAGCAGAACCAAGTCGAATAGTCGGACTACAGGTTTTATGGCTGGTGGATCGTGATCCCTTTACTGCCATATTGACTGGTGTGGGTTGGTTAAGGTCTCAGGTTGGTAGTCCATGGACAGAGACAAAGGCATTACTGATCATATCTCTTCCAATTGCGCCAGTGTCGAATAGGACTCGAGCCTTTTTGCCATTGATCAGAATAGTGCCTTCCAGAGCGGTGTGTGCTTTGAATGTAGCCGGAGGTCAAACACTGTTGCATTCCACATCGATATATCCGATATGGATCTCTTCATATTCGCTGGATTGGGTATTATCGCTTTCAACATTGTTGGCCGATGCCTCTTGCTTAATTGCCTTTCCTTTTCCTTTCTTCGTAGGACAGTTTTTTGCCATGTGTCCTGTTTTTCCACATTCAAAACATTCTCCTTTCTGCCGTCTTGATTCTTTGGAGTATTTTGTTTTCTTCTTGAAAACCCGTGGGGTATCGTCTTCAGAGTTGCTGGGGGCTTTGTGCCGTGGCTGGCTGTTCCTACTAGAGGATGTCTGTGTTTTGTAGGCCTTGGTCTCATGGAGAATGGCGTCCTTTCATTCTACTCTTGCAATTATTACTGCAATATCATCGCCGTCTTCCTCGAGTGGTTCTACTTCTCGCATGAGGGTAGGGTGCATAGTGTCGTAGAATCGTCGCTTCAGGATGTATTTGGAGATACTTCCTCTCTCCATTCGGTCCTTATACATCATCAGGTCCGTAGCCACATCAGTGATTCACTTGACATGCGTTCCGTTAACTTGCTGGAGCTGGTTGAATTTGTTGTATAGGAGGTCGTTGGTTATAGAGGATTGGAATCGTCCTTTCTGGTAATCGAGAACTGTAGTTCCTCTTAATCTTACATTCCCGCCGTATTCCTTATAGCATTGGTGGTATGCGTCGGTTACCTTTCCTTCGCAAAATGATCCAATGATAAGTCCGGTTGTAGGGTCTTCCACATCTTTTCCTTGTAAGAGTAGGAAGTGTGAGAGTTCCATCGCCCATCGGTCAAAAGCTTCAGGTTTGAGGTCTTTTCCTTCTCCTGTGAACTTTGCTGGGAGATGGAGTTTGAACTTAGGGTATTCAAATACTGCGGGTACCTCCTCTTCTTCAGGCCTAGCCCGAGATTTTCCTCCTCCAGAAGGCCCTCCTCCTGTGCTAGCCATATCTGATTCGCCACTGGATTCGGGGTCGATTGGAGGTTCAAAGGAAGGTTTCTTTGCTAGAGTTGAAGGGAATTCTCCTGGAGGTTGTGTATCTTCCGTGTTTGCAGGATCGCCCGGCTCTTTAGCAGAGCGCCAGGGTTGTTTCTTTCTTGTAAGGTCTTGCCATGGGATTTGCTTCCCACTCCTGGTCGTCAAAGACTCTATCTTGGGTTTGAGATGAAGCCGAATGTGCCGTGATTCTGCCGCTTCTCTCCGCTAGCGTTCTGAGGTGGATCTCAATAGGTTGATCAGGCCTAAATCCGGGGACAGGTTCTTAACCACTTGCTGAGGTTAAAAAAATATAACGTGTTCACAAGGTGCTAATCACGTTATCGGTAATAGATACGATAGTTGGCAGGTGGCCTGCTCTTCTGGAGAGGAGGCGAGAGCTGAGAACTAAAGGAGGCTTCGAGTGTGTACTGAGGAACAAAGAAGTAACCGTTCAACCAAGTATATTGAAATACTGTCTGTCAAAGTCTGCCTTTTCTATCGTAGAAACAGGCGGTCTTTAAATACACAAATCTGTTCATGTCTAGCATGAACGAAACTAATCAAAGGTATCAATCGATACACTTTGGTAAAACCCCTTAAGTATCGCTTTGATACTTGGTTTGTTTTAAGTATCTTTCAATACTTGGTTTTGTTTTATGTTTTGTTTTAAGTATCGCTTTGATACTTAAGGAGTTTTACCAAAGTGTATCGATTGATACCTTTGATTAGTTTCGTTCATGCTAGACATGAACAGATTTGTGTATTTAAAGACCACCTGTTTCTACAATAGAAAAGGCAGACTTCGACAGACAGTATTTCAATATACTTGGTTGAACAGTTACTTCTTTGTTCCTCAGTACACCCTCGAAGCCTCCTTTAATTCTCAGCTCTCGCCTCCTCTCAGGAAGAGCAGGCCACCTGCCAACTATCATATCTATTACCGATAACGTGATTAGCACCCTGCGAACACGTTACATTTAATATGCATCGTTACCTGTAATGTAGCCTGATCAGCTATCATATGTTTAAGTTTTGATTGCCGCTTTTTGGCATAACTTCGGCGAGCCCATTCTCTTACAGTGAGAGGGATAACGGTTGTCTGTCCAGACCTCAGTCTCTGGCGTTCACGATATCTGCGCATTTTTTCTCGAGAGAAAGACACCCTTGCAATGGCAATCTCTGCAATTTGACCATCTTGGTCTTGATTGCATTGCTGAAGCTGGAGTAATCTCAATTGTTTTTTTTTTTTACGACATTTGTGAGCTCTCTCAGTACTTGAACTGGGAAGTGATGGAGTTGCTTGAGGAGTCCTGGTTTGTCTAGCTCTGTACTTGTGCATACGTTTCTTGGCTGCTGCATTCTTTTTTTCTCGCTGGAGTTGGATATCTGATTCCATAATTCAGTAGATTCTGTTGATAAATTAGCTCAGATAATTTGTGTAAATAGTTGGATGGGCAAGCAATATTCGATTTGGAGTTTTGAATATCATACATTTAGAAGAAATATTGAAGCTAAAAGATTGTGGAATACAGTAAAGAACAATATCATAACATAGAAAAAGAAGAGAATTGTTGATTATAATACAAGTTATGTGGTCATTTGGATATTAGGGTTTCATTGTCTTAGAGGTAGGGTTAAGAAATATGCAGGTGTAATGGTTGCCGTTGCAGAAAAAAGGTCACACATTTTGTGAGAAAGCTGGTTTAGAAGCTAGCCTTCCGGAACCATACAACTCTGTAAATTGAGAGTTGGTTTCCAGGTTGACACTACTACTCACAGAGGTATTAGTAAAAATAAACCAAAAAAGATGAAAAAAAATATATATATATATGAGAAATTGTGTTTATGAATGTAGTTGTAGAGGAAGATGGCTGTTGATGAAGGGAGGGAGGGAAGGTGAGGGAAGACTGCCTTATATAAGGAGAGCGGTCGAATGGACTGCCTCTTTCGGTAGAGGGGAAATAGGTTCCAGAATCAGGTGTACTTGAGGATTCAGGGCTCAAAATCAACTTTGGGGCTTGTATCGCGATATCATAATATGTGAGGTTGAACTATGAACAAGTCATGTGGTATCACTCGGGGGCATCACTCGGGTGGAGGGCGTTTGTCTCTCCGGATCCACTCTAGTATACTCGAGTGGCATATAATATCAACGGCGCAAGGAGAAAGTGAAACAAATTGCCCAAAGTCCTCGAAGTCTTGAGGGGCCCGTGCTAGTTAGCTGTACTTAATTTCTAGAGCCTTTAGAGGATGATGCCGGTGATGCCTATGACAGTATTATCCAGAAGGTGATATTTTGCCAGAGCAAAGAGCTTTATATCCCCATCTGCGCCGCCTGGACATGTTGCCTTCGATATCGATTCAAAGAGGTCCCCATTTCTATAAGCGGTGAAGTATGCAGGACTATTCAAGTAATACCTAAAAAATCCGATATGGTAGCTAATATACAGTGAAAGGTCAAGCTCTCAGCCCCTCTAGCGACTCCTTCAATCTCTCCCAACCCTTCGTATCCTCCCAATTCTGCCTCCCTTGTCCCATTACTCCTCTCACCGTTGTCCTGGCCTTAAACCGCCAGTCCTTCGCAACAGGCTCACCAGCGCCTAGCCCCTCGGTCCTCTCCATCTCCCCCAAGCTCTGATACGCATCAACAAGATCTATCGTAGCATCCACTAACTCATCCCATTCCCTCTCCGTGCCGTCAACGATGCTCGGTCTGCTATTGGCTGTTCGCCATGCTTTCTCTTCCGCATCGAGAGCGTCTTTAGGCTTTTTCCTCCAAAGTGCTAGCTTGGCATAGATTTTCCAGAGGCGGCCGTCTTTGGTGATCAATGGGACGATGTCCTTCTCCATCAATTCGACCACTATCCTTTGTAACCCGGGTTTCTTGGGATCGTAGCCGGTGGGGTTGTTGCCCTCCAGATCAGACGTGATAATGTGCCGCACAAGCATTCCGAGAATATCGACGTCAATTGCTGTCTCCCCCGCCGAATCCTTTCTTATCTCAATGATCCTTCGCAGGGCGATAGCCACGTCCGAGTACGCCGGTGGACTAACGCTGGCGGAGATCAGCAGGAGGTTCTCCCATAACCTCCAGGAGTCATTTTTCAGACTGGTGGCCTTTTTCAAAGCCCGCAGAGCGCTTCTCTTGTTGTTTTCTTTGTCCACAACCATTTGGCCTTCGATCCCATTTTCGTAGTTTGTTTTTTCGTCTTCCGGATCTTGGCCGAGGTCGGAATTTCTCCACTCGCTCTGAGCTGGAAGCTCAGTCTTTCGCCTTAGCAATGCGGTTGCGAGATTGCTCCAAGCCTCGGCGTCAGTCTCGTCGAGCGAAACGGTCCTAGAAAATGCCTCAACCGCCCCCTCCCAATTTTCCAATTCCAACCAGCAACAACCTAGCGCAAACCAACTGGGGCCATTCAGTGGATTCTGCTTAAGTGACTCCGTATACGCTTCAGCGGACTTCTGGTACTCTCTTTGCGAGAAATAGTGACGTCCGAGTGATCGTTTCGCCCTTGCGTAGCGGCCCTTACTCACTTCCCACGCTCGTTCGTAGTGATTGGGATCTTGATCGATATCGCCAAGAATACACCATAGGCGAGGCGCATTAGGTGGAACAGGCTCAATCTCTTTCCGGCCATCCCCGCTATCATCCCCGGATTTAAGAGGATAAAATAGTTGATCCTGGATTACCGCCCGAGCTTTGTCCTCCTTTTCGGTAGCTGCCCAGCACAATGCCACCTCTGCCCACATCTCCAGCCTTTCGTAGATCCCAAGAGCTGTTCTTATTCCGCCAAGTGATATCCACCTTGAAGCCAACTCCGCCTCTAGTTCCCAACGGGTTGGGACCGACAACTGGTGAATGTAGAGAAGGCGTTCTTTTACTGGAGCCACCTCGTCTTCTTTCGGTTTTGGCAAGAAGGTTGAAACAGCATTATTCGAGTCGTGTGAGATATCCGCACCGGTCGTATCTGCGATGACTTGGTCAACGACTGCTTGAAGTTGCAGGAGCCCTCTCTCCACTGTCCGGGATTTATATCCCTCGATGCGACTACGTATTAGCAAGCCCAGGGTGTAGATCTCCCAGTTGACACTGTGTTGTAGAACCCGCTCCGCATACGGTAACATCTCTTCTCTCGTGATGCCATCCGCAGGGTTTGTGTTTTTGATGGTTTCGGTAATCAGTAATAGAATCGCCGCGTCTAGTGGTTGTAATTGGGGCTGGTTTCCTGGATCAAGTGAAGTTAATTCCGCGGACAAGGTGGATTCTGCTTGAACTTGGGTTGACTTTGGTGTAAAGGAAATAGCCTCCAGGATTGTGTCGTCATTTAGGTCCAAAGTCTTCGGCTTAACTGCGACCTTGCTGGGCCCTCCCTCTGCACTCCTTGCTAGCACGACCAGTTGGCTTGTATCGGTTTGCTGAAACTTGGTTCGCTTTCCCAACACTCCTGTAATGGCGTACTTCAGTCCAGTAATGCTTGCCGCCTCCTCTAGCCCTTTTAACGCCTTAGAATCATAACTGAAATAAGTGTCTATCAGTGCTTTCTCGATCAGATATTTCGCTCGAAGATCCAAGTCTTGACTCGATATATGATCAAGGAGTTTCTCTATATCTTCGTAGATAGCATTGTGTAGAGTTGCAGTTGCTTCAGAGAGAATCCTCTGGTGAAGGAAATTTACTCGAACTCTCCACCATGGGAGCGTCTCCAGCTTTGAATCCTTCTTGAGCACTGATGAATTCAGTACAACCTTTCCGAAAGCCAAGAGGAGCACATTTGGGGTTAGGTGGTAAGCAGTTTCTCCATCCACAGACAAAGAAGCAATAATGGACTTGGAGAGTTCTTTGCAAAACCCAGGTTCTTCAGCCAACTCTTCAGGGAGAAGTGCTCTCTCGGGAGAAAACGGAAGTGGAGGTCCGGTGATGTTTGACTGAATAAAGGCTCGGACCCCGGCGATCCCCATACACATCAGAGTGAAGCCGGATATGTCTGTAGTAGATAGTTTTTGTTCAAGAAACCCAGCATAGTCCTTAGTACTCCGTAGGTATTCAACGTCAGAGTCGTTGCAAATTGCAAGATCAGCAACCACAGCAGCTCTGGGCAGGCTCCACGGGAAAAGGTACTCGAAGTTGCTCTCGCTAAGTTCCTGCAATAATTCCAGGTTTGGGTCCGCATGGGTTTGTTCTGTATCCGTTGGAGAAGGGTATTTCGAGTCAAAACCATGGATCAACGACCATTCAGCAGTAGCCATTTTTTTTTCGGCAGTTTCCACGAGGTAGAATGTAGGAAATGGGGAATCAAAGGTGAGTGGAGAGAAAATAAGTGTCCCTCGCACTTGTGCATACTCAAAACAAAAAATACACCCATAGAACAACTTTAGCCATGAACGGAGGAATGGTGGGACCCTTAAGCCGGGTAACCTTGTTAACAATTGGTTCCTGCCTGAAGCTCCCTGCATTCTTCACGGGCCCAAATTTTGAGCCTCATCGCACCTAATTCTCTAACTCCCAAATTATTTATCTAGACGATGGGATAGTAGCCGGTCATGAAATATAGGTGAATTGTAATCTTACAGAATTTTTTGGCCTGGTGCAGTATAATTTAGTTGTTGCTCATGTACCTACCTCCATTTAAGATGTTGTGGGATGACTGCCTTTTGTCTAGCATAGAAATAAGGTGAGAGCGAACTATCGACCAAAAAACCCCACCACCCCACCTCAAAACCACGAATTATAACAAAAAATATTCCCATAAGGTGTTATACAGAAATCATCATATCACGTCGCAAATATGGCACCCCGCCGTGAAGATGAGCATGAGGACGACGAAGAGATTGATTTCACTGGTAAGAAATTTTCTTCCACCCATTCATCCCGAAGTTAGGGACTTGCACAATTCTGATGGGGCACACTTGCATAGATCTCAGAGAGCGGTACGAGGTTCAGCTCGATGAAGGACTTGATACCTTCGTTGTTGTCGATGGATGCCCGAAGGTTCCGGCTGATAGTAGACCGAAACTGATCAAGTTTTTGTGCAAACGTTTGATGGAGGTTGGACGTATCAGTCAGGACTCTGTTATTATGCCTCTTAACGAAGAGACGAACACGACCGAAGGGTAAGCACCACCCCCGCAACCCACCACGCGGTTTGAATATTAAAGGTCACTAGATACGCCTTCGTTGAATACAATACCCCCGACCAGGCCTTGTTAGCTTGCAAGCAGCTCAATGGAATGGCCCTCGATAGAAAGCATACCGTTTCTATCAACAAACTTACTGATATCGAACACTTTGGGCGAGAAGGGCGTATCAAGGAGGAGTATGTTGAACCTGAGATTGAGCCTTTCGCCGAACAAGAACACCTACGCTCCTGGCTCAGTGATATCAACTCCCGCGACCAGTTTATCATGTACCGCAGTGAAAACGTTGGAGTCTTCTGGAATAAGAAGAAGGATGTACCGGAGCCTGTAATTGATCGTGCAGGATGGACAGAGTCATTTGTTCAATGGTCACCACAGGGCACCTTCCTAACATCTGTTCACGGTCAGGGTGTGCAGCTATGGGGCGGCGCAAGCTGGAAGAGAATCATGCGCTTCGCCCACCCAATAGTCAACTTGGTAGACTTCTCGCCGAACGAAAAATACCTAGTTACGTGGTCTAACAAGCCTATCTCCATCCCCGAGAATCCACCCCCAAATTTCCCTCTAGGACCTGACGAAGATGGAAAGAGCTTTATTATCTGGGATATCAAGACCGGTAACCTCTTGCGATCCTTCACCTCTGTTGAGGTGACTGGTGACCGTGATGCCGAATTGTTCGAGAAATCCCGTAAGAAAGTTTCGTGGCCGGTGTTTAAATGGTCCTCGGACGACAAGTACGTTGCTCGGGTTGTGCCTGAGCAGTCCATTCAGGTTTTCGAAACTCCAAGCATGCTATTGCTTGGAAAGAAAGCCATCAAGATCGAGGGTGTTGTCGATTTCGAGTGGTCGCCATCTATTCCCACTGCCGAGAAAGGCAAAAAGGAACCAGAGCAGTTGCTTTGCTACTGGACTCCTGAGATGAACAATCAAACTGCACGTGTTGGTCTAATGAGCATTCCTTCAAAGGAAATCATCCGAACACGAAATCTTGTCAATGTGTCAGACTGCAAGCTCCATTGGCAGTCAGAGGGGAAATACCTTTGCGTCAAGGTTGACCGACACACAAAAACCAAGAAATCCATGTACACCTCCCTGGAGTTCTTCCGTGTCAAAGAAAAGAACATTCCTGTCGAGATTGTCGAACTAAAACAAGTTGTCATCAACTTCGCCTGGGAGCCTAAGGGTGATAGATTTGTCTTCATTACCGTCGACGAGGCTATTCAGGGAGCTCAGGTTGCACCCAAGACCTCGGTCCACTTCTATGCACCGGAGAAAATCAAGAATGGTGTCGGCGAATTTTGTTTAGTCAAGACGGTTGAAAAGAAGAACTCAAACGCCATCTACTGGTCACCAAAGGGTCGCTTCGCCCTCATTGCCACTGTTCACTCTCAGCAGAGCTTTGATCTCGAGTTTTGGGATTTCGACTTTGAGGGCGAGAAGCAGAAACAGGACAAGGCTAGTAAGAATAAGGATCTTGCTGCCAACCTCATGCTTATGGGTACATCCGAGCACTATGGTCTGACTGATGTTGAATGGGACCCTACTGGCCGATACGTCGCCACTAGTGCGAGCATGTGGAAACACGCGGTATTTCACAGTCACTCATATCTGCTTAATCCTCTTTTACTAACGATTACAGATGGAAAATGGCTATCACCTCTGGGACTTCAAGGGCTATCTTCTCCGCGAAGAACACATTGACAAATTCAAGCAGTTTTTATGGCGTCCCCGCCCTCCTACCATGCTCTCCAAGGAAGAGCAGAAGCAAATCCGCAAAAATCTCCGTGAGTACAGCAAACAATTTGACGAAGAGGATCAATTCGAAGCGGATGTCGCAAACAAGGAAGTTCTTGAAGCTCGCAAGAGACAGCTCGATGAATGGCGTGCCTGGAGAGCAAGAATTGAGAAGGAGGTCAGATGGGAGCGTGTCGACCTCGGCCTTCCCGAGGACCCAGAGGAAGCCCTCAGGGAAGCTGCCGGCGAGGAGGAGGACAAGGTTGTCGAGGAGATTATCGAGGAGGTCATCTCTGAGCACGAGGAGGAGATTGCGTAAACATTTATTTTTCCCCTTATCTTCGCTCTCCTTTTCCCACATTCAATATTCCGGGCGGGTTGAGAGTTTCAATGTTTTGTGAAAATATCAAAAAAAATCTAGCCCAGTGTTCTACATTTAATCTACCCCGACGCTCGTTGATGGTTCCTGTACAGATACTACGTGTAGGCCAAAAATTTCTTGGGAGTTATCATAAGATCATCCGAGTGATACTTTGTGAACAAACACAACAATTCCAAATACTGGGGCCAGGCCAACCCAAGCTATCCAATAACTGACAAAAGCCGGCTGATGCCATGGTGTTTCTGAAGACAGAGCTTAGCAAATGACAGAGACAAAGTTATTAAATTAGAGAGACGACACCCATTCTAATTGTGAGTATTGAAATCTCGAAACGCGAATACATTTTATCAGCCCCAACTACCCCCGCACCCCTGAAGAATGAAACTTGCCAGACTAGCAGGCGAATTGCAATAGATTTTGTCCCATTTTATTCATAAGGCAAGCTGCAATAAGAGTAGAGCAAGAACCCGAACAACTGGGCCTCGTATGATACTAGGATGTTGTAATTGCCTCTCCCGGCAAGGTCCGATGATTTCCTTTTTTATTTGCCTCTGGAAGAAGGATTCCCGGCGTGATTCTGCCCTCTTCGGGAGGTGGGGAGGATTTTTTGGACTATCATAATATTATGATACCTACCACGTGGTCCATTTATCCTAGTTCTTACAGCACCGACAGTATCATACTAACTTAGTATCGGACCGCCACTAGGCAAAAGCCCAGGCGAAATGGGACTTCTCTTTGCCCTTTGAACACTCCCTCTCCCACACAGACGACCAATCGCGCAAAATAGTCCCCCATCGTACTGCTGATCTCTGGCAAAGAGAAGTTGCGCCTTACCAAGGCTTTCGCCCAGTGAGTGCTGTTCATAAATCATGGTTTCGAGTCAAGACACGAACACACGTTGATAAAATAATCGGGATAAGTACAATATAAAGAACAGATTTATTCTGGTATGGTTATAGTACTGACAGCAAACTCATGTTCTATAACTTAGATAAAGTATGATACCCGCTCACACTCCACCATATGATACCATGTTACATCAAACTCCCACCCTCCCCCACCGCATATTATAGACCAAAAGAACCCACGGGAAATCTATCGCCTCACTCCTAAATTCCCAAAACCCCCCACAATGCTCTTGACTGGCGCCCACCTGCGCCCTAACACTCAAGTTCTGATATCATACTAGTCCCCATTGGCACTCACATGGAAACGCTTGGAGCGAAGGTTCTAGGGGACGGATAGAAAGCTGGATGAGAGGTTAATGACCCCAAGGACAGAGATATCATGTGAATTATATAATTAATTATTATGATAATTTATGAGCAAGATATTTTTTACAGTACGATAGACTAACTAAACTAGTACACTCCCTCCTCCATGTTCAGGGTTGTTGGCAGAGTATGATGGTTGAGCATCTCAAGAGACTTCCCATTCCACCGGTACTGCACAAGATCTCTGGTGGGCTTTGCACATATCAAAACCGATTCGAGAAGTATTAGTCCTGGTGTATGATCCTGTATAGAATTAACCTTCAGGACTCACGCAGTTGCCAAATATATTCATGGCATGGTATAGTCCAGGCTAGCCTTTCCTCCACTGGGCAACCCCTTCCCGTTTTCCTCTCCTCCAATTCCTTAATGGCCTTACTCCTTTTCCGTACCCCTTGGCCTGTTGGTCTACAAGGTAACTTACAGAGGATTATAAATGGCTGCACTTCAGCAAAAACTGGAAGACTCCCCAGATCCCACAAACCAAGTTGAATAATATTTTCCAGCATTTATTATCAAGTAGAGTAGACTGTGGCTATTTCAAAATTTATTTAAACCTAAAATTGAGGCAATATTGGCCTAATAATGGTCAAAGTTAAAATTTTCATAAAAAACTTTTTTTCCACAAAAATGTAGTATGCTTTGAGAAGTACCCACTCAGAAATTTCTCAAATATTTTCAAGAGTATCATATATGAATACACATTCAAATAGCTATCATACTCCTGCACATACTCTATCGCAAAGAAAGGAAAATGACAAACGCAACAACTGCAAAGGGTGAACGAGTGCCCTTGTACATAAGTCAATTACCAACTCCCAACTCCCCAACTCCCGGTTCCTGAGTGATATTTTGTGATTGCGGTCTGAAAAAACCGTGCTTTGGGTTCCCCTTTTGGGAATTTTGGGGTAAGCTTACTAGCCCTTCTAGAGTAAATACTATAATCACGACGCGTTTTGTTCTTCAGTTAATTGATTATGATACTTGTAGCTCGATCGAATAACTCCGATTGCACAAAACAATGGCACAACTTGCAAGTGCTATACCACTACTCACTAACCTTTAATATAACAGGGAAAAAGACTGTCACTACAAATATTTTGAGAAGCAATTATCACTAGTGGAAGTGCTGCTTAGCAAGCAGTGAGGTAGCTAGGACATCGAGACCATTCCACTGAGGTACGACCGGGATCAGTAGGTCGGAGAAGCCAAGGAATTTCAGGTGTGATAGAAAAGGAAATGGCCCCGGTCGCTATAATTTCAACAATACTGCCAACGAGGATAATGTCACAAAAAGGATGACCGGAGAGGAGGAGACGAGAGATTAGAGGGAGAAGGCTCTAGCTAATGTGGTCGAGCCTACGATCGGAGCCACCAATCTCTAGTAGTGATCCCATAGATATATTAAAGCAAGGAGTAAGACGTACCATTCCGAAAGATTGATGCCTTCTGCGCTTCAGCTGCATTGTTCCAGTTGTTTGGGGGTGTTCCCCAGGGACTGGGGAGTCCTTTGGGGGTGGGCGGTGAGGATTGTCCTGGTACTAAACTTAACTGAGGACTGATATTTCATCACCGGTCACCTTGGCTACTATAGTGTTTCTTCTAGCACCACACCGGGCGACTAATTTACAATGTTAGCATCACTTACTATGCCTCATATCTATGCTCACATGGCCACATTGAAGTTAAATACTTGGCACGGGTAGTACCGCCTTAGGTGTCCAGCTTCAACAGGAAACCAAAACATACCACATCCGCAAAACCAAGTATTTCCTGCTTGTTTGCAAGGCTGGAAGCATCGGACTTGCATTGATACCTGCGAATAATGCCAGCGTGGCCATCAGGAACGAGCCACTAGTGCGAACCAACTGCGTACCCTTTTGGTATGATACAGTAGAATAATTTAGTACAAGTACGGCTACAACAGGAACCACAGCTATTTCCACCACCACCACCACCACCCTGAGGTTGTCTTGGGGGTCTCGGTTTGCCCATTTTCGCTCATCTTTCACCCCCACTGCTCCTTATCGGTTTCTCTAATCCCCAATAGACTTCCTCAGCTCCTCATTGGTGCTTTTCAGAGCCTCCAACCTCAACAGATCCCTTCGTGAAGGCATATTGACACACAACAATGGACCCGGCACTGTAACATAACTGACTGAGAGCTATTGTAGCGCAGCCCTGCAGCACCACAGGTACATGGTGGGCGAGGGGAGGGTCCGTGAAGAGGATGCCACTGGGGCTGGAGTTCAAGCCCCCTTGGCATGGCTTCAGTGTTCCCCCACTGGGGGGGCAATAGCAATTATCCGGGACACGGTTCTTAAACACCGGATGGACAGCAATTGCTTGACCCTGGACGAGTGATCCCTGTGAAGTACATCAATGGGCAAAGGTGGTCATGTAAATAGGTCACCAAGGCGGACCGAGATAAGGGAGGGTAGGGGAGGGCAAGCGGAGCTGCGGGAAATGGACTAGTCATTCTACCAACGAAAGCTATGAAAGAAAGAGGAAATACCGAATCCTCCTGGTCGTGGTTGATGTTCGAGCGATGGTTTCCTGACGATTCCCGGGGACCAGCTCCCGTCCATTAAAAACCCCTTTCCCCCATATCAACTACTCGAGTACTGACTTCAACACGCGGGCTTGACAAATACATTATCGTATCTTCATCGGCATGTGTGAGTACACTTACGTATCCCGCAGCACTAGTGCTGGCAGCCAATCCAAAAGCCATACTCGCGAACCTCCGGAAACACAAAAGTAACACGCAGACATTGAGCCACGGCAGCATATAACCACAACGCCAGCTAACACCTGAGATGGGTTTTAACTCTTCAAGTCCCTGGATTGCTTCCCGAACAAGCCCGCAGGGTTTGCGCTATCAAAGCCCCATTAGTTAGCTGCAATTGTGAATTGGAGCTTGCACAAGCAAGAGAAACTCAAAGTATTGAAACACGACGCACCAAGCTTCGGGAACTGTATGGGTGCCCACAGGCACTTATATTGAAAATTCCAATTTCGCCAGGCCAACAAACAATGCAAGACATGTCTAATTCGCCTGAAATTTGGATATTGTGAGGTCCGTACAACCGTCTGATGCCCAGAGCCGAAATATAATCAATTGAGGTGGACCTGGCGTTGTCGTGTAGTTGTGAAAATTGTCACTTTTGGTGTGAAAAGGGCAAGTGACGGTGACCATTATGTCCAGTCTCTGTAAACACAGCCATCAGCCGTCAGTTAGTCTCCGACTAGCTGGTAGGCAAGAGCACGAGTGACCCAAGGGGGCCTCTGATTTGAATTGTTTTCCATCTCCGGTGGGGTCGTGGTGTTCAGGTTGATTGCTGCTGAATGCGCTCCTTCGCGTCCATACTTATACTCGAGCAGACAAAACATCGCGGTTGTCTGGCGCACCCCACCACCTACTACCGGGTCGGGTACTCGAGTATATGATAAATAACTATGCGTCAGACCACACTCGAGCACAGGCCTTGCAGGTTTTACATGAGTTACCGGCTTAGTGAAAACACATTGTATACGTTATGCTGGCTTTTGTACATGATTATACGAATCTTGTGGGCGCACCAAGATCAGGTGAGAAATACCCTGCAAATCGAGTCAGCCGCGTGTAGAAGGGACAATACTGTAGACTAGGGAGGTTTTGCCATGGCGGTCTTGATATCGTAACAAACCGGGAACCCAATTCCTATCTGAACCCCTCTATCATCCGCGAACAAATGCGCGTGAATCCATAATGCTAAAAACAGTACTTTGTGATAGGGATGAGAAGCCCACGATGTCGCAAGGGCGTCAAACTAACGCCCCCCCCCCCCCACGGAGACACCGGGGTGACGATCGGAACAAATCATATGGACGAGAAGGCAAGCTATAAAACGTGGGTAGGAAGGAGCCCTCAAATGCAAAAAGGTATCATATCGTAACAGACCGAGACGGATTGCTTATATACAGTGTCCCTCCGGTTGAAAATAATAATAAACCCCTTCAGAAAACGTATATCCGATGCAACCAATGCTTCAGGCCTAGCTGTCTAATTCGCTCGCTACCTAACTGAAAGCATTGGCCAGGAATCCCTGTACTGCCTTCAAAGCCTCATATCTGACCTCCGGGTCGCTATCACCCATCAATTCCATAACCCTAGACTTAACACCTTCCTCTTCCCACTTCTTTCTACTCCCAGGGGCTTCTCTAACCAAAACCCCAACATCGTTCGCAGCAACGGCTAGTACAGTCTTGTCTGAGCTGCTGCTAAAAACTCGAGAAAGTGCCTTCACAAGCTCTGTGTCATCCATAATCTCTCTTGCATGCCTTTTCCAGAAACCTTCATTGCGATGAGGCGGGGACCAGCGGAGATGACCAGAAATAATCTCAAGTCGGTAGGATGAGAGTGTTGTTTGTGAGGATTGGAAAGAGTCCAAGGCTTCGATTAGGGACGAAAGGTCGGCTGTAATATCTGGGTCGGATGCGGGAGTAAAGCGTGAAGAAAGTTGCTGAAGGTATGGAAGTATATTCGAGAGAAGAAGAGGTGGTAGGTTGGTAGATGGTGATTCTGTAGCAAGGTTTGCAAGATTCGCAAGAGCCAATCGGGTGATTTTCTCCTTCAATGATAAACGGAGTATTTCAGCTATGGGGGGAATCACATCATATTTCCTAAGGATACGTCGATTGCCCATCAGTGATACACTCAAACAATATGTGGCATTGAACGCACGGATTAATTTCTTCAGCCACCAGCTCTTCGAACGTGAGTTCCCAAATCACAAGTAAAACATGATACAGCAACTGCAACCCCACCCCTCCTTGAACTATGCCAGTCCCACCAGTGACACCTGTGACTCTGTCACTCCCACTGCCATTTCCAGCAGCCGCCGTCTCCAAGATCTTGACTACAGGAGCCACAGTCTCCTCCTCCATGTCCCAGAAAGTGGTCCTAGCAAACGTGCTTCTCAATAGTGAAACATAAGATTGAATGGCTATATCTTGGAGATGTCCGTCTGGTGATTCGGTGAGGCCTGCGAAAAAACGGTACAGTTTTGGAAGAGCATCTCGGGCATCGCTAGAGGGCTTTACTGAAGATTTCAGGTAGGCGGTAAGAAGCGTAGTAAGGACAGATGCGCTGAGGAGGGGTGTTGATTCATCCGTGTGTGATAGCAGTGACAGGAGATGAGCAAATGGTTGAGGAAGAGATAAGAGAGAGTCGGTGAACGCGGGAACACCTGGCACGATCAGAACTTGAGGTCAGCCAAACACGATTTACCATCGAAGATTCGCCCATCTCCCTTGGGTTTTCACGATCGAAACTAGGTTGGCTCCAAACTAGTAAACGAATGTATTGCACACACCCTCCAAAAGATCACCTAATAACACGAGCATATAAGCCACGACATCCACTCTCTTTCCATCCGTAGCTTTCCTCAACACTCCTCCGGGGCTTAGGACGAGTGCAGCGTAGCCGTCGACATCTTTCTCAACCACGCTAACCTGCTTCTCCTTCGATGCCTTATCGATTGCTTTGATCTTTCTGACATCTGAATCTGTAATCAAGCCAGCGCGGACGTGAGCATCCCAAGCAATAGAACGGCCACGTATGTTCAAGAAAAGCTCCGAAAGGTATCTGGGAGTATCGAGGGACATTGCGAGCTGTCAATAATGGAATGTAATGGAGCTAGGGAGCTAGGTAGAGGAGGGGTGAAGAGGGCTGTTTGGTGTGGGGACTTGGAAGTTACCCGGCTTGAAGTGGGTGAGGGTGCATATGCTTACTAACATAGTCCAATGCCTATCATATCATACTGCAACTCGTCCCACTAGCACCTAGACCAACCCAGAGCCCGACAGATCTATTCTAGGATTCATCCACCACCTCGAACAATACCCCATCTACAACCATCTACCTCTATCTATCTCTGACGCCTTCTCCACCATCCGCTTAATTACACATCGCCTAGCCAAATACCGCCCTATATAATGTCGGACGAACCCGTGCTAAAGGCAGACAAGGACTGTGGGACACCCATTGCTCTCGGTTTTTTTCGATTTTCTACTCAAATTCTGACCTGGGGAGTTTATAGTCACTGAAACACTAGACAGACAGCTTCCGGAGATATTATCACTCACTAAGGTTTGAAAATTGATAGATTAGATGCTTGGCCCGGTTACTGACCACTCATGAGTTGTAGACAAACAAAGCAAACCTCCCAGCCGCCATCGAAAAGCTCCTAGCATTAGAAAAGCAAACGAGACAGGTTCGATCACCCTATGTATCTCCAACATCGGCAGTCGTTAACATTTCTCCCAGGCTAATGATTTGGCTTCTACCAACCGCCTCCTCACCACGATTGTTTCACTATGCAAGGATGCCGGGGAGTGGAAGCTTATGAACGAGCATGTCCAAATACTCTCAAAGAAACATGGCCAACTGAAGCAGGCCACAACTAAGATGGTGCAGACTGTGATGGGTTTCCTTGATGAGACACCTGATACCGAGACGAAGCTCTCCGTTATTGAAACGTTGAGGACAGTTACTGAAGGCAAGGTACGTACTCGTAGGGCTATTACCATTCTTTAGGTCAAAGCATCCAAACTTAGCCCATCTTTATAGATTTTTGTTGAGGTTGAGCGGGCTCGTATAACCCGCATCCTCTGCCATATCAAGAAGGCCCAGGGTGACCTTGCCGGAGCCACTGATGTTTTGTGTGAACTTCAAGTCGAAACATTCGGGTCTATGGATCGACGGGAGAAGACAGAATTTATTCTCGAGCAAGTCGAGTTCTGTATTGAACGTGGAGACTTCACCCAGGCGGGAATTCTTTCGCGAAAAATTTCTACAAAATACTTTGCCCAAAAAGAAGTATCTGATCTGAAATTGAAGTTTTATGATCAGCAAATCCAACTTGCAAAACAAGAGGATAAATATCTGGATGTGTGCAAACACTATAAGGCAGTTTACGACACCCCGAGTGTAGTTGAGGACCCTCATAAGTTGAAGAGTGTAAGAGCCTCTTCTCCGTTCACCAGGTAAATATTAATCGCCAAGAATGATAGGTACTCGAGAGGATCATATATTACATTATCCTGGCCCCCTACGATAACGAGCAATCAGACCTACTGCATCGCATTCATGCAGATCCGAATCTAAGTTTGGTTCAAAAACAATCAAATCTTCTCAAATGCTTTACAGTTCATGAGTTGATGCGCTGGCCTCTTATCGCTGAAAATTACGGGGCCGGGTTACGCACTTCCGATGTTTTTGCGATTGGTGACCCTAGGGCCGAGAAACGCTGGGATGACCTGAGGAAACGTGTTATCGAACACAATGTAAGAGTTGTCGCAAAGTATTATACCAGGATCAGGATGGACAGATTAAAGGTTCTCCTCGATCTGGACGAGGATGAGGCCGAAACCTATCTAAGCCAGCTGGTAACCCAAAAGACTGTCTACGCCAAAATAGATAGACCTGCGAGAATCATCTCCTTTGCTGAGCCCCGAGACGCGGACGATGTCCTTAATGAATGGAGTGGCAATATGAAGAGTCTTCTAGGGCTGTTGGAGAGAATTGACCATCTGATCACAAAGGTAATTCAGAGTGAAACTCCCTTATATCCGTTCATTCATTAATATCTGGCGTAGGAGGAAATGATGGCCAATATCGCCCCAAAGGTTAAGAGCAAAGGAAAGGCTAAATGAGGTGGATGTAGCTAGATTTGTGTATAATAGACATTGCGGCAATACACGCAAAGTTGCTAGCTCCTTATTCACACCACATTTCCTCTGCCTGCAACCCTGAGAAATCATTAGCAAATTTTTTTTCCGTAGTGCTATCATAGATCAATGACCCCAGCTAATGAATACTCCAATGTACACAATGGGTTAACCTGTCAACCAGCGCAAGAACCCAGGAAGACTTGGGACTAACCCTGCGGTGGGTAAAACATATCTAGATGCCAGAATACAGTGGGCTGGCTCCAAATGGTAAATCAGAACCGATCATAGCCAAGGAAAAATACATTTAGAAAATAATGGCACCTTAGTACTAGAATAGGACCGTCACTCAACACCAAACTATAGGGCTGATAATGGAAATGTTGGTTGATAGGTTCTAGACTACTAACGAAGCAGACGGGTAGTACAGTACTGTAAGGCTCAAAATCTAATTTGTGGATTTTTGAAGTCCTGCTAGTTGGTTTAGTTTGATTTAGGAAGGGAGGTAGTTCTTTGGGGTTTTTGATTGGCTGGGAGCAAAAGTGATAGGGTATGTTTGAAGGAGGAAGGGAAAAGTTTTCTTTCTGTATCATACAGTATGTAGGGAGGTTTTCTCCACCTGTCCTCTGCACGAAGTCAATAGCAACCGCAACGAAAAAACATTGAACTCCACAAAACACGAATCGAACAGAATAAGTCTTAGTGTGCGAGTGATAAAACTTTCCTTGAGAGCAGCGCTTCCAGTCGTCCAGTCCGTCCTAGACGGGGTCAGGACGACGGAAGACGACAATGTCTCGTCTTGGACGGACTGGACGGGGCGACGGCAGTCGGATGGCACTAGTCCTGGGTTTCCGTTTATGGATACAATATCACCCCATTAAAAAATTTATAATTTTATTTATTTGGTTTACCTTATTTTTGTTTTAACTTATTATAGCACCGCGTGATTGGTACCGATAATTCACGCAATGGCTAGACTTGTTCTGCCGACTCAGTGCGTTCGAATTTAGAGTGACAATTTATGATTCGTTATCCTCCGCCACAATCCGATCGTGGGTGCTATGGTAAAGCGACGACAACGCCAAGCACAACAGCCAACTAGACTCTAGCTCTGGAGATCCTCAACCCCTCAACCACCTTGAAATCGCCCATTATTTCTCACTCTTGACGAAGACATGTCTCACACCTCTGCCACTGCCGGTTGGGAGCGAGTTGAAGACAAATACTACCGCACGATTCAGCTTTATTCCGCCCTCTGGGATCCCGACTTTGACCTCTCGGATTATATTGTCGTAGGGGCTCCCTATGGTGGAGCACTCGGTAGCTCCCCCCACATCAATCGTTGCAATCCTGAGCTGACAAACTTCTCTCTGTAGCTCTCTACAAAGACGAGACGAGAATCCAAGCTTACCGAAGCTCCCAGCAGTCAAAATCAAGCATAGATATATACAGTGCTGCCGGGAGGCTCATCCGTCGGATATCCGTACAGTAACCCGTTGCTCCGCAATCCACTACCGCCTTTAAGGTCGAGTTGGGGAATTAATGGAGAGGTTGCTGATATATATGCGGGGTTCTAGTGGGATAAAGGCTCCATCAAGGGTCTCGGTTGGTCAGAGGATGAGAAGCTATTGGTTGTAACGGAAGACGGGGTGGTCAGGTGTTACTATGATCTTCAAGGAGATTTCACTCAATTCTCTCTCGGCAATGTAGGCCAATCCGGGATTATGAAGGCAAACCCACTGATATACATTTCATTTAGGGCGCTGAGGAAGCCGGTGTCAAAGAATGCCGGTTTTACTCTACTGGTTTTGTCGCACTGCTACGGAACAACCAATTCATCTCTGTTTCCCGCTACGATGAACCGAGGCCACGCCTCTTAGCAGATCCGGTTCCTTTTATCCCGGCTACAGAGATTATCCACTCGTGGACGATTCTTCCTCCATCCTACACACTCTCCCGGCATGTTGAAGTGTTTGTTTCTACCGGCACGACTATCTTGATTGTGGACGCTACAGAAGTTCTAGACCAAATGCTTCAGAATGGGCCATTTGCTCATATTTCTGTTTCACCGAATGGAAAATACGTGACTTTGTGCAGCGTTGAGGGGAAGGTTTGGGTCATCAGGTCCGACTTTCAAGAGAAGTTGAGCGAGTATGACACCGGAACTGGAGGCGAGGAGTTACCGCGAGCAGTGGAGTGGTGCGGAAACGATTCGGTGGTGTTAGCTTGGGGTGAAGAAGTTCATATGATCGGTCCCAGGGGCTCAGTGCTGAAGCATTTCTACGAAAACTTTGTACACCTGGTACCCGAAATCGACGGTATTCGCATAATAACTACGGAGAAGTGTGAATTTCTACAAAAAGTTACTGGTAACCCACCAGTTTGCATTGGGACTCAAATACCTACCTTGATCTAACTTAGTGATGGCAACAGATGGCACTGAAGATATCTTCAAAATTGGAGCCACGGCACCCGCCTCAATCCTCCTTGACGCTGTTGATCAGTTGGAGAGAAAATCACCGAAGGCTGATGACAACATCCAACTCATTCGCGCCCAGCTTCCCGAGGCAGTGGATGCCTGCATCAAAGCTGCTGGTCATGAGTTCTCTGTCCGCTGGCAAAAGCAGTTGCTTAAGGCTGCTAGTTTTGGCAAAAGCGTATTGGAGCTTTACAGCTCAGATGAGTTTGTAGAAATGTGTGAAACACTCAGGGTACTCAACGCTGTGAGGTTTTATGAAGTCGGGTTGGCTATAACATATGAACAGTATGAAATCCCCGATGATGGTCGTGACGAACCTGGCTAACTCGGATAGGTTTGTACGACTTACACCAGAAAAATTAATACAAAGACTGGTCAATAGGCAGCAGCACTTGCTGGCATTGAGGGTCTCGGAGTATCTGCGGTTACCAACTGATCGGATATATATCCATTGGGCTTGCATGAAGGTCCGGATGTCGGCAGATGATGAGGATACCATTTGCCGCATGGTAGTAGCGAAACTCACTGGAAAACGTGGTATATCCTTTGAAGAGATTGCAAGGACTGCGTATGATGAGGGCAGAGGAAGGCTTGCGACTCAGGTATGAGCCTACTTCATTTATGTAATACGCATCTAACTGTATAAAAGCTATTAAATTACGAGCCACGGGCTGGCAGACAGGTTCCGCTTCTACTCAACATGGAGGAGGACGAAATCGCTCTTGATAAGGCAATTGAGAGTGGGGACACCGATCTTGGTAAATACTATCGCCGCTATACTTTAGGTTTTACCAGATCTGACCTGAACAGTCTTTTTCGTTCTTCTCCACTTAAAGAAAAAGTTACCACTAGCAAATTTCTTCCGCATGATCAACGACCGGCCTGTTGCATCATCGCTGATCGAATCCTCGGCTAGGGAAACGGATCCAGGGCTCTTGAAGGACTTTTACTATCAAGACGATCGTAGGGCCGACGGCGCATACGTTACCCTCCGTGACAGCTTGGCCCAGAAAGACTTATCTCTAAAGATGGAGAAGCTGAAACTCGCCTCAAAGTTACTAGCCGATGCGAAAGAACATGCTCTGGAGGCAAAGGCACTTGATGAATCAGCAAAACTTCTACACATGCAAGAGAATTTCGAAAAGGACTTGCAGCAGGAGAGATTTGTCGGCGACCCCATTAATGAGACTGTATTTAAGCTTATACGCATGGGGTATTCTTCTCGGGCGAACAAAGTTAAATCGGAATTCAAAGTACCGGAGAAGCGGTTCTGGTGGCTCAAATTGCGGGCTTTGGTTGCCAAGAGGGATTGGGGAGAAATTGAGGAGTGGGGCAAAACCAAAAAGAGTCCGATTGGGTGGGAGGTATCGATTTTGTTTCCCGTTTATTTTTATCTCTTTTTTTAAGAATTTCCTACTTACGCTGTTTTAGGCGTTTTTTAATGAGTGTCTGGCTGCAGGAAACACCAAGGCGGCATCTATCTTCATACCTAAGTGCACTAATCTACCTCCTGCGGATAGGATAGATATGTGGGTTCGCTGTGGCAATATGGTTAAGGCCGGCGAAGAAGCTTTCAGGGCTAAGGATGCTAACGCACTGGAGCTGTTGAGGTCAAAGGCGGCTGGTGCGGCAGCCTTGGAGATTGATAGGCTCTTGAAGCAGCTTCGTCCGAAATGATAATTGGGTGTTTCGTGGGCGGTGGCCAAGCTGGTTGCCAGCTTAATGATCTATATCCCCACATGCATGAATTTTCTTCTCTCTTTTCTTTTACAATTAATGATTACTTTTTTGCTAGAAACAGACGATACGAGTTCACCCCCGTAGCGCACCTAACATTCATGGAACCCCGTAAATTTAATCAAGGCGCAAAGTTACCCATGCATAGCCATAGCTTTTAACAACCGCTGGGTATAGCGTTTCTCCAAACAGACCTATTACAAAAGCCGGTGAAAGATAATCCCCCAACGGATACTAAAGAGTCCCCCCCCTTTCCCTCCCCACCTCAAGTCCTTTGCCCATCACTGGTTGGAACCTCCGCCCCCACCCCCACCACCCCCACCACCCCTCCCCCTTCCCCTACTTCTGCCACCTCTGTTTCCACGATCCCCTCTGTAACCTCCCCTCCCACGGTCGTTCCCTCCGCGCCCGCCGTGGCCATCTCTGCTTTGCTGTGTCTGCGTCTCCTTCACAAGGTCGATAATCTCGTCGGGAACCCTAAGGTATTTGATCTATGATCCACAACATCAGTCCCCAACGAACGAACCAACCGTTCCTTTTTTATCATCCCAAATCAACATACATTGTTCCCCCGAACATAACACTCGGCCAGCCTAAAAAACTTGTCACCCTCCTACAGCCACACCCCAGTTAGCCCCAGTCCCCTCGTGGGAAAGAGGGAGAAGGAGCGGGGAACAAACAGGACTAGTCTGCACAACCTCCTTCAAAGTCAAGTTCATCCAAGTGTCGCAGTTGACCAGGTGTCCGTTGAGGGTTTCACCGTTTTTGAGCTCTACGAGCATTGGGTGGCCTTGGGCTGTATTCAGGAGGGATAAGGGTAGCTAGTATGGACATTTTGTCAGCGATCGGTTAGTCGGAGTTAGTTGGTTTAGGACGGGGGAGCGGGCACCATTTCGTTCGCTACTACTGATGGAGGAGCGAGAAAATAGCTGAGGTGATATAACGGATGAGTGCGTGATGAATGGAAATGTGGTAGTGAATGATGTTGAGTTACGTTGTTGCGAGGGCGAAGGAAGAAGGTAAGTTGGCGTGGTTGCACCAGACCGTATTTGGATTAGTGCGGGGTGAAGGTTTCGTTGAGCCTCATTGGTCCTGCGAGATGTTGAAAGACTTGTGCCCTCACCCACCAACCAACCCTTGCTCAGTGACCCTACCGGTACATTAGCATTCAATGCTTGGGGTCTCCGTTTACTATCCTGTTTTGTGTTTCCTTGCTTTCTCATTGAGAAAAAAAGAAAGAAAAAGGACCTATGCACTTCGGTATGGGGGGGTTAAACAGTCACTTTACGTCTTGGATAGCTCAAACAAAAAGCGAACCGTGGGCACAGCGCCGGTATCGTAACTGGAGTGTAGGTATTGGCTCCGTTCCGGGCAGTTTTTATTTATTTTTTGCCCTCAGCAGATTGATGTCTCTGCAGCTCGGGCACTGGTAGTCTACTGTGGGCATCCCTCGTACGTGGGGAATGTTTTTTTCTTCCCAATTTAATAATGGTCTCTATTCCAATATCCCACTACGGAAGGGAAGAGAAGGAAGGGAATTAAGAAAAAAGAAAGTATTACCGATATCACCATAAACCCAAGAACTTTGCTCGATGTTTGGCGACATCTGATGGTTGGCGGTGCATTTTTGCCAGTAATTATAGTTTCCTAAGTTCACAACTTACGAACTTCCAAAATCGAGGACTCTCAGGATAAGTGCCCTTTTGTTAGAGATGCCGTGTGAATTCCGGACGCTTAAACTAGATTCCTGGGCTCTACTACACAAGTGGTTCCATAGTAGGAACTTCACAGGACTATCAATGGTGAGTAGTAGTAAAACATTGATCCCAAGATTGTCAGCTCCTTGAATGTATAACCTGGTGATAATCCATGAGGGGATTACGGTAATGCAGTGAGCTCAATCAAATTGCTCACCTTCGGTTTTTTCTTTCTTTTTTTTACCTGTTCTGCTGTGTTACGAGGTAAGTTACTATAGTATGCACATGGCGACCAATGAGTTGTAGACAGTCTACCGTCTCCCCACGCAACCATCAGATCGGATCACGATGTTTTGTCGGGCTCAATTGCGTTTCAGCTACATGTTTTACCGAGACAATTTGAACCCATGCAATAGCTGAGCTCAGATCCGCCTCGCCATGCTTGTTTCAAGCGTGGATCCGGGCCGTGGTCGCGTCCCTCCGACGGCGCGGGTATTCACAGATGTTGTCCTGCAGCGTTAGAACAGGTGGGGGTTTTCGATCGATCCTTCTTTATCGAAGTGAGGAGATGTTGGTACAGTACAGTATCATACGGTACAGTCAGGACAAGCCGATTAGAAGATGGTTACACTACGTATGCGAGTGAGAGAAAGTGATGCTAGGGTATTTGTGACCTGGATCTATGATACTATTGGTATCATACTGTACGGTACTGTACGGAACTGGCGTCGGGCTGCGCTACTGGGGTTGGCGGTACCTGATCGGTACTGCCCAGGTGATGATGGGCAATGAGAAAAAGGAAAAAAAAAAAAAATGCTAGTATGCATATGATATCCAACAAAAAGGTATCCTTGTAAGTATGGAATTGAGACTTTGGGAATTGAATTCCCCACTGCACGTCCACCAGCCCTCCTCTGCGCGGAAGGTATTTACTCGAGCATTTCCAGGAAGATTTGGGAAAGCTTCTGCGGGGCGTTTTGGAATTCGAGTAAGAAATGGTACTCTTGGAGGGAATGAGTAGTGAGTGGGAGGGGGGGGTGTAGTGCAGCAATACTCGAGTAAGTATTTGTGGTGATCTTGGGTAGGTAGAAGAAAAGGTCCCCTATAGAGAGGTATTTAGCCGCACCGCGCTAAGTGGTATCATAATTGCGCTGTTGCTAATAGGCAATGGGAGGGTTCGACATGGTATCATAATACCGCTAGTCCAGGTGTTTATATGAGATGTTATCGATACTAGATATGGTATCATATCGTAGTCTAAACGGTGTTAACCCATCAGCAAACAGCACAAGTTATTCTACGAACACCAAGTTAGCTCGACAAGATTCCAGCACAATAAAATCGCCATCAATTTAAAACCAATCTTTAAGCACGCTTGCCATACTCGAGTATGAATACTCGAGTACATAGGAGTACAGTACCTGGCAGAAAACTTGTTTTAGCACAGATTGGCTAAATCCACACCTTACTCGCAGACTATCACATCTTCTGGGAAACTTATTCTTAACTTTAGCACGGGGGGATGCTGGTAGCACGGTGCGGCTAAACCCCTCTGATCCGTTGAATTACAGTGTGATACCGGTATGGCGGCGTGGTAGGATATCGTAATACGGGTATGATACAAGTATCGTATCTTAATAAGCTCTCGAGATGTAGGTTTTGATGCATCGTATCCGCTTCCACCAGCCCTACCAAATTCGGTTACCCTCGCTTGAACCCTTTTTCCACCCCTCCCTTCCCGTCCTATCATTGATTGAATTTTGACCCAATTTTTTTTTTCACATTCATCCCATTTTTCTGGCTTGCAAGAGTTTGGGTATAATCTCGTAGGTGTCATCCTCGGGTAGTATATAATTCGATACCAGATCCTCTTCCTCCCGCTCCTTCCTCTCCTTTCTTCACATCTTTTTGTTCAGGGCCTGGTCTCTTTCCTTCTCTGCGCTCTTCGGCTTTTTATTTTTATTTTTACGATTCCAATACCCAAGACCCTGCCCCACCTTCCTACAAAGTTCATCCAGATTAACCCCTCCATTGCGGCTCTCTTCCCCCCCCCGCCGCCGCCACTACCCCGCCACTACCACATATCTTATATTTTCGAGGGAAATCCCGTTTTGCGGGGGTTCTTTTTTCTAAAAAAAAAAGAAAGAAAGAAAGAAAGAAAGAAAAGGCTCAGACCTGATAACCTCGTACCTACCGCTACCCCCTCTTCCTTTGAAAGAAGTAAGATAACAACGAAAACAGATTGGCAATGCCCGGACCTGAAGGCAGTCAGACTAGGGCTGCGGTTGTGCCCTTCCCACCGGTAGCATCCCAGTTTGTCGGACGAGATGGCGAAATCTCTGGAGATGAACGCCTCATGACCTTGGAATTGGAAGATGGGAGTGCCTATCAGGGGTACTCTTTCGGGGCCGAGAAGAGTATTTCTGGAGAATTGGTTTTCCAGACTGGTATCCGCCTTGCTGCTTTTTGGAATTGGGGTCCCCACGGTCAGAGAATCTAACTTGGGTTATCTTAGGCATGGTGGGATACCCGGAGTCTATAACGGATCCTTCGTATCGGGGGCAGATATTGGTCATAACATTCCCCCTAGTAGGAAACTATGGTACGCCATACAATCCCTCAACAAGTGGCTAGCGCTGTTTAATTGACAATCACCAGGTGTTCCGGACAGGGAGACACGAGATGAGCTGCTCGACTCCCTTCCATCGTACTTCGAGTCGAGGGAGGTTCACATTGCGGGATTGATCACGGCTTCGTATTCAGGGGAAGACTACAGCCACTATCTAGCAAAAAGCTCTTTGGGAACATGGCTCAAGGAGCGGGGAGTTCCGGCTATCTACGGTGTCGATACTCGAACACTCACCAAGAAGATTCGGACGCAGGGGAGTATGCTCGGAAGGCTATTGCTACAGAAGAATAGCAGTGTTGGGAGGATGTTGTCTAATAGTCTTAGCTCCTTAGTTAGTGCTAGGTCCCCTATAGACCGTGATTGGAGGCAGGATTTTGAATCCCAGGAATGGGTAGATCCTAATGCCAAAAACCTTGTGGCTGAAGGTTAGTAACCAATTCTTTGAGCTCCACGACAATAGTTGTCTGACCTGAATTGAACAGTATCCATCCGGGGACCCCAGATCTTTTCCCCTCCAGTGGACAGGGCGCTCAAGAGGCCAGACGGAAAGCCAATTCGGATCGTTTGTGTCGATGTCGGCATGAAATTCAATCAGCTCAGGTGTTTTCTCTCCCGTGGCATTGAGGTAAAGGTTGTACCATGGGACTACGATTTCCTGAAGGAGGAGGAAAACTATGACGGTCTGTTTATTAGTAACGGTCCTGGCGACCCAGCTACCCTAAAGACTACTGTCGACAGACTTCGAACAGCAATTGAAGTTGTTAAGACGCCAATCTTCGGTATCTGTCTAGGACATCAACTTCTCGCCCGAGCAGCCGGTGCAGAAACTGCTAAGATGAAGTTTGGTAACCGTGGGCACAACATCCCGTGTACTAACTTGCGCTCTGGTCGATGCTACATCACCTCTCAGAACCATGGTTTCGCGGTCAACGCCAAGAGTCTGAAGAGTGGCTGGCAGGAACTCTTTGTCAATGCCAACGATGGCTCAAATGAGGGTATCTGGCATACACAGAAACCGCTTTTCAGTGTTCAATTCCACCCTGAGAGCACACCCGGACCCAAGGATACCGAATGGCTTTTTGATGTCTTTATAAGTGCTATTCAGAAAACTCAAGGTCCTAACGGGGGAGCTGCGTTGAGCCAGCCAGTTGAGATTCCCGGTGGGCTCATTGAGGATAACGAGAGGGCAAACCCGAAGGTCAAGGTCAAGAAGGTGTTGGTATTGGGGAGTGGAGGCCTTAGTATCGGACAAGCTGGAGAGTTTGATTACTCTGGGAGTCAAGTGAGTGCACTATTTTCGATGGCCGTCCGGTAGAAACTAATAGTAATGCGTTGTTTAGGCCATCAAAGCTCTTAAAGAGGAGGGCATTTACACTATTCTTATTAATCCTAATATTGCAACGATCCAGACATCCAAGGGTTTGGCAGACAAGGTATATTTTTTGCCCGTGACTGCTGAGTTTGTCCGAAAGGTCATCCAGTATGAGCGCCCAGACTCCATCTATGTTACTTTCGGTGGTCAAACAGCTCTCCAGGTCGGTATCCAGCTGAAGGATGAGTTCGAAGGATTGGGCGTGAAGGTTTTGGGTACACCTATTGAGACCATCATCACAACCGAGGACCGAGAGCTTTTCGCCCGAGCAATGGAAGAAATTGGAGAAAAGTGTGCTAAATCTGCCTCTGCATCCTCCGTCGAGGAGGCCATGACTGTTGTAAAGGATATTGGCTTCCCTGTCATTGTCCGTGCCGCTTATGCTCTTGGTGGGTTAGGTAGTGGTTTTGCCTACGATGAGGATCAACTCCGGGACCTGTGCAACAAGGCTTTTGCTGCTAGTCCGCAGGTTTTGATTGAGAAGAGTATGAAGGGATGGAAGGAAATTGAGTATGAGGTTGTCAGAGATTGCCGTGACAATTGTATCACCGTGTGTAATATGGAGGTAGGGTGTTCCCTTTGTGAGATGTGGTTTTACAAAGCTGGGAGCGATTGCTCATACCGATTTTTTAGAACTTTGATCCCCTTGGTATCCACACCGGTGACTCGATTGTCGTTGCCCCCTCTCAGACCCTTTCTGATGAGGATTATAATATGCTTCGAACGACGGCGGTAAACGTCATTCGTCACCTAGGAGTTGTCGGAGAATGCAATATTCAATACGCCTTGAACCCATTCTCGAAGGAATACTGCATTATTGAAGTCAATGCCCGTCTATCTAGGTCCTCGGCATTGGCATCGAAGGCTACAGGTTACCCTCTTGCATTCATTGCGGCGAAGTTAGGTCTCGGAATTCCCTTGAATGAAATTTCAAACTCTGTCACGAAGGTCACTTGTGCTTGCTTCGAGCCTTCCCTTGATTATGTGGTTGTAAAGATCCCTCGTTGGGACTTGAAGAAGTTCACTCGTGTGTCGACTCTTCTCAGCTCCTCCATGAAGAGTGTCGGAGAGGTTATGAGTATTGGTCGAACGTTCGAGGAAGCGATCCAGAAGGCGATCCGAGCCATTGACTACAACAACCTTGGTTTCAATCAAACAAAAGCGTTGATGAGTGTCGATCAGGAGTTGCAAACCCCTTCTGATCAGAGATTGTTTGCAATCGCCAACGCCATGCACTCTGGATATACTGTCGAGAGGATCTGGGAGCTCACCCAAATTGATAAGTGGTTCTTAAACAAACTCATGGGGCTTACCAATTTCGGGAAATTGATGTGCAAGTACAACGCTTCCAGCATTCCTACTTCCCTCTTCAGACAAGCGAAGCAGTTGGGATTCTCTGACAGGCAATTGGCAGAGTTTTGGGGCTCCAATGAGGTTGCTGTGAGGAGCTTGAGGGTTGAGGAGGGGATTATGCCTAGTGTAAAGCAGATTGATACCGGTAGGTTACTTGGGAAATCCTCTGCAGGTAGTTATATTAATTTGATTTAGTTGCGGCCGAATTTCCTGCCTTCACTAACTACCTTTACCTCACCTACAATGGTGTTGAGCACGATGTGGAATTTGAGGATAAGGGTGTCATGGTCCTTGGATCCGGCGTTTACAGAATTGGATCTTCCGTTGAGTTCGATTGGTGTGCAGTCCGTGCGGTTAGGACTCTCCGTGAGATGGGAATCAAGACCATCATGGTCAACTACAACCCGGAGACTGTCAGCACCGATTATGATGAAGCTGACAAGCTCTTCTTCGAGAACATTAACTTGGAGACAATTCTCGACATTTACCAGCTCGAACAATCCAGCGGTGTAATTATTGCTATGGGCGGTCAGACACCAAACAATATTGCTCTCCCTCTTCACCGCCTAAACGTCAAGATCCTGGGAACATCACCGGAGATGATCGATAGTGCGGAAAACCGGTACAAATTCTCCCGCCTACTTGATAGAATAGAGGTTGATCAGCCGGCGTGGAAGGAGTTGACGAGCATTGAAGAAGCTGAAGCGTTTTGCGACAAAGTCACTTATCCTGTCTTGGTCCGCCCCTCATATGTCCTTTCGGGTGCCGCCATGAACACTGTCTACTCTAAGGATGACCTTGCCTCGTACCTCAGACAGGCGGCCGACGTTTCCCGAGAGCATCCTGTTGTCATCACTAAATATATTGAGAACGCAAAGGAGATCGAGATGGATGCAGTAGCTAAGGATGGCAAAATGTTGATGCACTTTATTTCCGAGCACGTCGAGAATGCTGGTGTCCACTCTGGTGATGCTACTCTCATCCTCCCCCCTCAAGATTTGGATCCAGAGACTGTACGCAGAATCGAAGAGGCTACCGGGAAGATCGGAAATGCCCTCAATGTCACTGGTCCGTTCAACATTCAATTCATCGCTAAGGATAACGAGATTAAGGTGATTGAGTGCAATGTCCGTGCTTCTCGGTCGTTCCCCTTCGTATCGAAGGTTATGGGCGTCGATCTTATCGAGATGGCCACGAAAGCAATTTTAGGCTTCCAAGTTGACGCATATCCTAAAATCGATATTCCAAAGGACTATGTCGGGATTAAGGTTCCCCACTTCAGTTTCTCTCGCTTGTCTGGAGCTGACCCTGTTCTTGGTGTTGAAATGGCGTCTACCGGAGAGGTTGCTTGTTTTGGCCGTGACAAATCTGAGGCCTATATCAAGGCACTTATGTCCACTGGTTTCCGCCTCCCTAAGAAAAACATTTTGCTATCCATTGGTTCTTTTAAAGAGAAGATGGAGATGCTCCCTTCAGTCAAGAAGCTCTTCCAATTGGGCTATAAACTCTTTGCAACGGCTGGTACTGCTGATTTCATCCAAGAGCACGGGGTACCCGTACAGTACCTTGAAGTTTTGGGCGAGCAAGATGAGCCCAACGGCCAGAAAACTGAGTACTCTCTTACTCAGCATTTAGCAAATAATCTCATCGACCTTTACATCAATCTGCCCTCCAACAACCGGTTTCGCAGGCCCGCCTCCTACATGTCTCGAGGCTATCAGACCAGACGTATGGCCGTTGACTACCACACCCCATTAGTTACCAACGTCAAGAACGCGAAGCTTTTGGTTGAAGCACTTTCACGCAATCACAAGTTGAAAATTGATAGCCTTGATTACCAGACTAGTCATCGTACTATCACTCTTCCGGGGCTTATCAACATTGCCGCCTTCGTTCCTGGCTTGGCTAAGGAGGACAGCAAGGACTTCGAGCTGGTCACTCATGCATCCATTGCCTCTGGTTTCTCCATGATTCGTGTCCTGCCATTGGGTGTCGAGGGCAGTCTCACAGATGCTACGGCTCTTGAGGCGGCATTGGCTAATAGCAAATTGGCGCACTGTGACTTCAACTACTCTGTGGCAGCAACTTCCACCAATTCGCAACAACTGAGTACTCTCACCTCTCGCGTGGGATCGCTCTTCATACCCTTCAACCACCTTTCCGGCAACATCAATAAGGTGGCTACAGTGACCTCCCACTTCGGGGTATGGCCAGCGCTCAAACCTATCATGACTGATGCAAAAACTACGGATTTGGCCTCCATACTCTTGCTTGCAAGCCTACACAATCGCAACGTACATGTTACCAGTATCACCACCAAGGACGACATCAAGCTGATCGCATTGAGCAAGGAGAAGGGACTAAAGGTCACTTGCGATGTTGCTGTTTATGCACTTTTCCTATCCCAGGATGATTATCCTACTTGCCCCGTTCTCCCCACCGCAGAAGACCAAAAGGCTCTCTGGGACAACCTCGCCATTATCGACTGTTTCTCTGTTGGCAGTTTGCCCTTCCAGCTTGCTCATGACATGAAACAGGATGTCAACGCGGCCTTCGGTATCGCAGACACACTTCCTCTTTTGACCACTGCTATTTGTAACGGTCGATTGACAATCGATGATCTTAAGATTAGACTACACGATAATCCTAAGACTATCTTCGACCTTCACGACCAGCCAACTTGCTCTGTCGAGGTTGAGATGGATAGATCCTACAAGGTACAGCCAGGCGATGTCTGGTCTCCTTTTGTTGACCGCACTCTTAAGGGGGCCGTGCAGAGGGTCACTTTTAAAGGCAAGACTGCCGCCTTGGATGGATATATCAGCAGTGATGGGTCTCACGGCACTGCCGCCTCCGTCCCCAATCCTGTTGCTGCGACCTCAGTGGCATCCCCTCAGTTACGACCCGAGAGTTCGCATAGCCGTCAGAACCTTTTGAGCCCAAGACTGGCTGGCCGTACTCAGTCATCGGCCCTGGATTCTCTACCTGCGCTCCAAACCCCATCAAGCCTTCTTGTCAACCATTCCGAGGCATCGCCCCATTTCCAACTATCTGCGCCAATGATTCCGGCATCCCTTTCGGAGCTGCTTTCTCGCGATTCCATGTTCAAGCGTCGCCACATCTTATCAGTCAACCAGTTTAGCCGTGCAGACTTGCATCACCTTTTCACGGTTGCGCAAGAGATGAGACTCGCGGTGGAGAGATGGGGTGTAATTGACCTTCTCCGTGGAAGACTTCTGTGCACAATGTTCTTCGAGCCGTCTACCAGGACTTCAGCATCATTCGACGCAGCTATGCAGCGGTTGGGTGGAAGAACCGTAGCTATTTCTGCTGCTCACTCGAGCTTGAAGAAGGGAGAAACTCTTAAGGACACAATACGAACTTTGGCCTGCTATGGGGACGCTGTTGTCCTAAGACATCCCGCAGAAGACAGTGCCGCTGAGGCAGCAAGGTTCTCCCCAGTCCCCATTATTAACGGAGGTATGGTTCCACTAATCGCTCAAATCGTTTAAATGGTACTAACAACTAAATAGGAAACGGAAGTCTTGAACACCCGACTCAAGCGTTCCTCGATTTGTTCACTATCCGTGAGGAGCTGGGAACTGTTAATGGATTGACCATCACGTTTGTCGGCGATCTCAAATTCGGCCGTACGGTTCACTCCCTCGCCAAGCTATTGCAGCATTACCACGTTCGCATCAACTTTGCCTCCCCCCCGCAGCTCTCAATGCCAGCCACCGTCCGTGATTCTCTCAAGAAGGCTGGAATGGAGGTGAAAGAGTACCACGAACTCATACCAGACCTTGTCGCTAGCTCAGATGTACTTTATTGCACTCGTGTCCAGAAGGAGAGATTCGCAGATTTGAACGAGTTTGAGAAGTTGAAAGATAGCTTCATTATCGACCACTCGGTTCTAAAGAATGCGAAGAGCCACATGGTTGTCATGCACCCGTTGCCCAGGAACGCTGAGATTGGTGAGGAAGTGGACTATGACCAGAGGGCAGCGTACTTTAGACAGGTATGGATAGTTCGCTCTCCCCAATTCTAGTTGCATAATACTAACAGAGCACCAGATGAAATACGGGCTTTACTGTAGGATGGCTTTGTTAGCTTTGGTTCTCGCTTGAATTCTGTAGGGTTGCCGTTTGTGGGGCTCGAGGCTGATTATTCGATGGGGTCTCTAAAAGTGCATTTTTCTCATTTTTTTCCTCTTTGGTTACCGCTAGGCGTTTGTAGGATAATTAATACCTTATCACATACAAGTACTCGTATAAGTACAGTACAGTACCGGTATCAAATATGCGTTTGGAAGCAGGGCATTTCTCCTTCGCTTCTAGACATTTCGCGAATCGATGAAATCTTAAAAAAGGTAACGGATCGACAAACTAAGTAATCAAGCAAGCCTCACACAATCATCATCGCCAAAGCTCTCAGGAATAATACCGCACTTAGAGTACAAGCACAGACAGGATAAAAAGACAAAGAGAGCAACAGAAAGGCAGTCTCAAAGCAAATCATTAACTTGGAAACCGGAAAAAAATGCCCAACTCCAAGACACCATTTATTGCAGTTTCCCACTAATCCACCCAATCCAATCCAACCACATAATCCGTAGCGAAGCTCGAATCCAAACACCAACGACCCTGACAAGACCAATTTAAACTAAACACCACCACCTATGATACCCATCGTCAGCCCAGTCCATCCATCATCGTGTAGGCAAAGTGCATTCAGGAAAAGGAAAGCAAACAACCGGACCGCTCACACCCCCTAAGCGCAAACCCACTCTCGCCGTTCGTGCGGTCCTTCTCCTCCGCCCGTGGCCTGGCGTTCATGTTCGCCGCGAGCACGCCCGCGCCGGTTAAGGCCAGGAACGTTGCTAGGGTGTTTTTGGCCCTAGAATACCGGTAAAAGAGTGGTTAACTCTGAGAATATCATAGGAAGGGCGGAAGAAGAAGCGGTGGGGGGGGGGAGCAAACGTGAACAATCTGACGGGCATGATTATTATATCCTTCGTTTCTTATGGAATTATATAGCAGACAGGGTATAATATAACTCAGAGAGGAAGAATTGAACATAGAAGTATCGACTCATGATAGTTTAGAAGGAAAGAATAAGGCTCCGGTGGCGTCTTTATAGCAGTTGTACGAGCACCGTACCGTACACTTCTCTATCTATCTAGATTATCTCTCTATCCCTTCCTTCCACCTAGCAACTCGTAGAGTACCGGCACGGTAGACTAACTTACGGCACCATACCGTACTCGTATCAGATCTCACAACCGCACGCGACACACCCACATACCGGTACTCGAGTACTCGTACACACACCTCCCGAATCCGGATTGGCCTGGCCCGGGACCGCGGGATGCTACCCTACCCTTACCGTATCATAGCTGGCTTGTGACAACTTTCGATAACTAACTTATAATTGACTGGGAGAGGGGAAAAAAAAAAAAAAAAAAAGATAAGATGATGGTGGCGTTAACCCGACTCTTTTCCCGGTTTCTGAGTTGCACGCTCTTTATCGGGTCGGAGAATTTTGGGAGGAGGAGGGTATAACTAGACTATATATAGCGCCGTGTAGCACTGTAAAGTGCTTGCACAATAATCTTGATGGAGGAATGGAAGTTTATGATAGTCTAAGTCCCCCCGAATCCTCTTTTCCACGAGGCGGAGGAGCAGTTTTATTTTATTTTTTATTTATTGTTATTGTGTTAATATAATACCGATACCCTGCTTTGGTTTTCCCTGGCCTGTCCCGCAACTCACGGGGGGAAGGGGGGGGGGGGCTGGACATTTAGATTCCCAGATGCTTGCACTGTACTGTACGGCACTGTATCATACAAGAAAAGCAACGCTCACCTACCGCGCGGCATCTAACTACAGTTCGTAGTCTACAATGCAAAGCCCTACTCGAATTCTGTAATGTACTCGTAAAGTCCAGTGAGGCATCCCCCTTGCTACACATGTGCACATCATTAATTTTGATCTTCCAATCATACTCCCTCCTACACTCTGCTATCAGTGTCTAACTCCCCATTCACAAATCCCAGGAAAGCATTACCTCATCAGCTTCTACATTTCCCCCTGTAGTCGCCATCATATCTCACCTTTCCATGGGTCGGACTCGGAAGGAGAGGGGGGGAGTTAAGATAAAAAATTATAAATCCAGCAGGGCGCTGAATGAGGAAAAGCCATCCAAGAAATTAGTTGTGATGGCGGCGCATGAATATTCAATTTATATGACACCAGCAAGGGGAAAGGGACGGTTGGGAAACAAGCCCCCGAGGGCCATCATTTCACGGTAGAGCAGCCCACCCGCGATAGGGCCCAAGGTTTCAATCAATCCACAGCATACCAATGCTCGCAAAAGAGACTAGGCGTAGGAGTGATATCGCAAATAATTAATGATACAGACGGACCCATCAGGATAACGTCAAGAAAGTTGAAAAAATAAAGCAAGGCATAAAAAAGCCCTCTCCCCCCCAGAGAAAAAACCAAAAAGGAACTTAAACTCAATCCCTTTACTTTTTCCCCCTTTTAACCAATCCGCCCCATTCTTCGACCGTTCATCATCACTAGAAAATCATGCCAGGAGATTTCCCAGGTATTTTTTTATCCGAAAGTTGCTCCGCCCAGGAATGACACGAGAAGAGAAAAAGAAGAAAAAAAACAGATAAAGGAAATAATTATGAGTTATCAAAGGCTTCTATCCACTCATGTCTAAAACCCTCCAAACCCAGTAGCTTGCGGTGCAATCCCGTTAGCGTATGATTGTTGTGGCATAGGGCCACCCGGTCCGGCGGTGAGCATAAGACGATTTCCGAGAATCGGAGTAGTGTCTTCGACCTTTTGCTGGGTAGCCTCCTTGATCTTACGCTCTTCATTGTCCTTCTCGAGAGTAGCAATCTTCTTGGTTTGCTGTCTCATGGCATTGATCATGAAAGGCTGTTCCAGTTAGCACATCGCACACGAAGATCATATTTTCCGGGAGCAACTCACCATTGTGTAGTCACTCAAGCCATGGCGCCACGAGATCTCCATGACAACATCAAGCTGGATAAGATCGTAACAGGCGTAAAGCATACCAACATAGCACTCCCGGCTACCAATGTCGACGAACTAGGAATGCCAATCAGTATGAATATCTCAAGAACAGAATATCCCGTACTCACGTAACGAAGTAACTCCTCCGCCACATCTTCCTTTCCGGATACAGCAGCAGTCTCAATAGCATCCTTGAAGAGCCTATCCTGCTTTGATAGGGCAATAGATTGGTTCCAACGTTTCTGCTTGCGGTAGATATTGGCGGCGATCTGCCTAAAGAAGACAAGTCTATAAAAATGTCAGAAACCCTCACCAAACAAAAGAATCATAGAAACTCACTCGTGTTGCTCGAGACGCTGAGCAAGTTCAATCGGGTCATAGTTGTCATAGTTCTCGACCGAATCACGAAGTGTCTTATAATCTTCCTCTTCAATCAACAAATCGTTAATAGCGTTGTTGACGATCTTGTTATTTTGAGGCTGAACATTGAGCAAAAACGGCTTGATAAGAGGAATATTGTCCGATTTCTCAAACATTCGCACAACACTAGAAAAGGTAAGCTCAATTGCTGCCAATAACAGAAGGAAGTTGACCTACCGGGAAACATCAATGCGAGGTGTGAGAACAGTCAGCAAATCGGTAAGCAGGGAAGGTTGCTCCTGCAGGTAAAAGTTCAAGGCACGGTAGTAAATCTCCAGGTTGGCAACCTTGACAACAATATCCTTGAATGACTGGTGCTCCCATGAATCTGCTGCTCTCTCCATCATCGCCAAAGCAGCATTGTCCCATTCGTCATAGCTGAAAAAATACATTAGTCGTGTTTAACATGAGAGAGTCACAATACGTACTGGCAATACAGAAAGATGAGTTCAGGCCAAAGATGAGCTTGCTCGCAAGCACGAATCATCTTTGGAATGTTGATACGGCCCCAGAACAACTTAAGATGTTCCATTACACGATCGGGATGGTATTTTGAGAGGGCAATACCCAACTCAGTAAACATACCCTGCAGTTAAATTAGTCAAGTGATGCTTTCACACCGGGGTGAGATAGTCCAACATACCATATGGGCCCTCTCCAAACCCAATCCAGCCTCGAGGAGGCTGATCAACTCGTCAAAATACCCGTTATGTTCGTATTGCTTGACAAGATCTTGCAACTCTTCTGCATGGACGATCAGGTTGAGACCGCAAATCTGTGCAAGACGGAACTCCTTCTTGGAAACACAGGCCTCGTTGACTTGCTTCCATACTTTAGTGCTATTGGCTTTACGGGCGCACTCGACAGCATTTTGGTACTCTTCCAAGAATACGAGAGTAGTCTATGATCAATTAGTAAAGGGTTCACAAATTTATGGGAATATATAGTCTTACAGCCAATTTGGCCCAGTTGGAAATGCTCGAGAAGAAGACTTTGGCGGCCTGGTGAAGCCCCTCTTCGTATGCCTTGTCACCACACTCCTCGATATTGGCAACGTTCGAGCTATTTAGGAACTCCTCCAGCTCAGGCAATTTATCAACCCTAGCATAACACAGAACCAAGCTACTATCAACAGCTGGCTCTCTCAGGGTCTGTCTGCACATTTGAAGATATTTGATGAGATCCTCGAACTTTGCAGCATGAGTAGCTATCTCGATAACCTCCGCATAGTTGCCAGGGTCCTTAGCTCGGATATAAGATTCGATAGAATCGGTAATACGAAGGCCGTCCAACTGAGCCTTACCGAGACGACTCCATACCTCGGGCAAATCAACACGATCAGCATAGCCAAAGGCGCGTTCAATGCTAACTATGTTTTCAATGAGAACGTTGATAGCGTCACTGTGTGCATTTATCTTTTTGTAGACCTCAAATGCCTCCTCGTAGAGTCCATTCTGGATGGCAATGTGAGCTACATCGGGGCCGTCGTAATTCGTGAGACGGTGAATGTAGTCCATTACGCGGGCCTTATCCGCTTTAACTGCCGTGAGGATAAGCAGGTTCTGTAGGCTGCTGTTATCACTGAATGTGGATGGCTCAAGAATAATCTTCTCAAGAAGCTCGATCAACTCGGTCGGGAGGTCGTTGCTCAAGAAGCACTGCACAGCCACTGAAACATCCTCGGGGTCAGTGGATTCGGGGACGGCAGTTGCGACAACTTGGTCCACTAGAGAACGGCGGTGGATGTTATTGGGGCTCAAGACAAAGCCCCACAGTTCGGAATCACGGCGTGCTACAAGGTACCGGGCCTGCTGCTTGAACATTGAGTTCTCATTGGTAATTCTAACCAATTCAACATCATTCTGACCCTTCTGGTATGCAATGAATGCCAAGTATGGGTCTCTCTTTTCGCAGTACTTTCCGACTACCAAATTGTCGTACTGGTTGTTCTCTTTCAAGAATTTCTCCGGGTTGTTGTTACTATCGATGTATATCTTTGCAAGGGCATTGTAGACAGCTGGTTGTTGATTTCCGGCTGCCAATGTATCCTCCAAAAAGGGCAACAAAAGTTTTAGACGGTTCCTACGCTCAACTTCGGCAACAAGCTCGTCGATAGGAATTGCCGAGCTCTGGACAGATTTCAACAGATTCTTAATGATGGACTCCTCGCAGTCAACATCCAAGAGTCCTCCAACCACTGCTGGAGTTCTAGCCGGATTAACTCTCTGGACGTAGACCTCAATAGACTTGAACTGCTGGTTCTGGTAGAGGTATAATACCAGCTCGTGGATAAAATTGAAACGATCGCAGACCACAATCAATGGAAGTTGTTCAGTCAGCTTTGCCTCCTTAAGAAAATTCTTGACCTTCTCCGGATTGTAGAAATTGCTATCGCGACAGATCCGCTCTACCTCACTCATCTGACCGCAAACAGTGGCCGCTTGGATGTACTTGAAGTGCACATCCGGATCTTCGCTCAAATTGACGATACTGCCAAGGTAATAGTAGAGACCCTCAAATGTTTTGAAGCTCTCGAAAAGGTCAATCAAGCGATTGGCACCCAAAAGGTCGGAATATTTGGTCGCAATTTGAATTACGACTTGGAGATTTTGACGAATGTTAACCCTCAGCATCTCTCGCATGCAGTCCAAGGATTGCTCCAAAGACATCCTCCCAAAATACTCAACAATGAATTCTGGAGAAAGCCCAGCACTATTGTTGCAGAGAACCCGCTTAACTGCAGCAGGATCATCGAAATGTTCCAAAGCCTATGAAGAAAATGGATCGTAAGAAAAAGGCCGGCAGGTATAGACAAAAGGCAGGAAAGGGGATATCATACTCTCTGGAATAGGCCCGCGTTCTCGCACAACTTTGCAATCTTTTCACGATCGTAGTACGAGAACATATTATTCAACAGAATAGCATCTGCAACTTGGGGTGCATTTAGGAGGTTCATTTCTAACAAACGGGTCTGTTGGGCCGCATGCTCTGGCTTGTTTCCTTCCAATGCCGTTAATAGGAAAGCCGTCGCCTGCTGAATCATATTCTGTGACAAGAAAACATCCACCACCCGGTCAATGTCAACCAAGGAACCACCCTCCTGACTGGCAAGCTGAGTTGCAAATTCGGCGCCTTTCTCCGGGTTGATTCGGACGATATGAGTCAACAAAGCTGTGTAGTCTGGGCTGTATCCAACCTTTTGTGCATATGGCACGATCTTGTCGAACTGTCCCGTCTCGGCAAAGGATGCAACAACTTTCTGAGGAACATTGGCCCGCAAATAGACACTCAAGGCGAGGTTGACATCGTGGACCCTAACGGCATCTCCCAGTTCTTCTGTGCATTCCAATTTGTTTTCCTTCAACCATTTCTCTAGCAGATGTTTCCGGTTTTGTGCAAGGACGGGCTTAACCAATTCGATGGTTTCGTGCTTGTTCAACGTCGTCTTGTCTAACAACATACCAAAGTATTGGAGAATGACTGAGAGCTGTCCGGGGGGTGCTGGGACGGACTTAAACTGTTCGATGGTCGCTGGAGTACGCAGGAATCCACGAGGAGAATTTGCGGCAACTTTGGCGGCCTCTACAAAATTCTTTTGGTCCATGAGTAATTGAAATTGCTTCTGATATAGCTCATCAGCGCCGGCAAGGCCAGCCCGCGAAGCAAGTTTGACGGCAAGAGTTGAGTTCGCCGGGTTCTCTCGCAGATACGGGATGATTTGGTTCTCATCGACACTCACGCACAGAACTTGACCCTTTCGGTTCACGCCAATGATACCGGAGCTAGCCTCATGGGGTGCCGTGATGAAAATAGTCTCACTCGAAATACGGTTCATGAAAATGCATGCTCCGGTCTCAAGATCGTACAAATGGATGAAACCGTATTTGGTAACCAAATATATGATAGAAAATCTTGGTGAGATCTGCATTGCAACGGGAAAATCGTTGACGGCCTCGGCTGGGAAGTAGACGTCGACAGCCTTTTTCTGGAACACAGGGTTGGCAGCGACATGGTCTACCTCAACTACATGGAGTTTAGCTCCTTGACCTGTTCGGACAGCAAATGTGAATAGTTTTGTGTCGGAGGAAGCCCCCTCAAGTCGGATCGAGGCGAATGCAGCGGCGTGACCTTCGATGGCCTGGCTGATCCCTCTATCCTTGGAGTACAACTGCATATTACCCACAACACGCCCCTGTGATTGAGAAATACCAACTACAACCATCCATTTCTCATCCGCATTGACGCGGTAGTTAATAATTTGGCAGCCCTAATTCTCAAAAGTCAAAACTGATCTCCACCCTTTCCATTGCCACATGCTTACCGAAAGATTCATGTGTCGGTCGAAGATTTTGACAGGAGCCGCTTGGCTAGGATCCATAACATCCCAATGGTAAACGCTATTATCTGTAACAAGGCCCAAGCTCCTCTCGCTAATCCACTTCCAAAAGACAACATCCTCATTCATTGTATGCGACTTCAGCTTCTCTTTTGCTTCCAAGTTGAAGATCTGAAGTGTGCGTTGGGCTTTCAAGGCGATAATCTGTTTGCTCCAGTGCATGATAGCACTATCCGCCTTGATCGTCCTCCGTGTGACCTGGTTGCCATTATGAAGGTCGATTATTACGACTTGTGCTGCTACCTCATCACTCTTTTCACGAATGCAGATAAAGTGGTCGCTCTCCAAGGTCTGGACAACTGTTAGAGAATAGCTCAAAATCACGGCCAAAGGTAGAACTGTGTAGTAAAACTTACGGTGGTATTGAAACCTATTGATGCTTGCTGTTTCCAAAGCGTCAGTGAACAATTCATTCGGAGATGCTAAAGCTGCTTTGGTCGTTCATACTTGAATTTCGAGCTGTGGGAGCTATAAATATAATACTATCAGTAGGGATTATCAGACGGCAGCCCAAACTCAGGGCGCGACTTACGGATAAGAGTTCGGTAAAGGTAATTGGTAAAGGGGCCATGTTTGCTCTAAGCTTTGAGCGTTAGGGGCTCACCCACGTTGAGGAAAAAGGAGGCAAAGAGACAGATAAAAATTATGGGGAGCAGAGCAAAAAGCTAAGAAATCCGAAAACGAATCGAGAGCAAAGTAAAGAGTGCAGAGAGGGAGGCTAGGCGAGGATTGAGAGAAGGTTGATGGAAAATGGAGTTTGAGTAGATGAGGTGGAAAATAGTGGGTTAAGGTGGTGGAGATGATGCCTTTTCTCGTTGGTGCAATCCGCGAAACACTGAGGTGTGGTTTAGTTCGCTAGGCCCTGTTGTATAGGGCTACCATTTACGCTGTGGCCGCGAATTTGGCAGCCCTAGCAAAAGGCCGCGTCTTGTTGAGCCTCACCCTTTACTTTCATCCTTCAATGTCTTTATCCTGTTAAAACCAGGAATAAGAGACTAATAAAACGGCTAATTATGATACCTCCAAAGAGGACAAAGGTATGATTCTCATACACACCCTAACATCAAGCTACAGATATGATAATTATTAACACGAGTGAGCCAGAGGAGCTTAATCCCAACAAATGTCACCAACTAAAAAACCTGCTTGAGTAGGAAAGAGCAACCATTTCCTTCGTTAGTTCCGGCGGCCATTGGATCCCAGCCAAATAATAAGTTACTCGCCTAAAGTTTGCCCCGAGCCACCTCCCCCTGGTAAAGCGAAAAAACTTTAAAGGGAGAGGTGTAATTATTCATGATAAGAATGTTCAACGATAAGGTCAAACACCTCGTAGAGGTTTAAGATGTTAACTTGGAGAACATCAGTTCTCCCCTGCAGGAACACACCTCATTTTTTTGATTACTGTATGGCGTTGACAGTTCGGCTATGATACAAACCCACCCACGAAACCGCCGAGTTCCTTTAACTCTGTCTACCCCCTGTTATATGGATTAAGCGTGGTCATATATTCCCACGGGTGCCTGTCTCCATTGGTTTTTAAACCGTTCACCCCACAATTGAGATCCTATTAGGTATGTTGTTAAGATATAAATATGAGAAAGATTAGAATAGTTGAAAATAATAATAATATTATTATTATTATAGTACTGTGCTCTACCGGTATTTTATCATAAGTTATCATAATCGATGAGGAAGCAACGAACCCTGAGAAAACTTCAGGTTCCCAAAGCTAGGGGAAAAGGAACTCAAAGTGACAGCCGCCAGATCGCCAACCCATAACAAAAAAAAACGACCCAACCCTGCAGCATGTAACCCACCGACACATTTGCCATTAAAGCTATGGCCCAAAAACTGGCAGAAATTTTGCGATCTATGATATGTGGAAATTTTTATACTTGCACCCCAGATAAATACCCAACATCCTGAAGAGGATCTGACACAAAATTGAAACTTTTATAATTCCCAAGTTACGAGACCGGTAGGGGATGTTTTTCATCTAGATATTTTGTGCCAGGTGATTATCTGCTTTGCTTTTAACCTCTCCGTGTATTCTGCGAGTAGCGCAGACCCTCATTGACCCCGATCCTTCTCCAAGCCCTCCGCCCCTAGATACCTGGTTTCTCTTCCCTATCCTTTGTTTTACCCCTGAATCTCCCTCATATATCTCTGGTAGCTATCACTAGTCCTGTTAACATGCCTAGCAAGTTTACAATAGGCCACTATACGGCAACCTATCGTGTCCTACCCCTGACGGACTTACCATCTGAAGTTGAAAATATCACGAGTGACAATCAATGAAGCCGGATGGCTGTGCTCGGGCTGCCACGGGATCTCTCGGACCTGATCATGGAGTGGTGGCATCGCAACGTACATACTTTTGTTGGAGCTAATATAAAATAAGATTGGAAGTATTTTAAGCGTAGATCATTAGTACCTACACTTGTGATATCATACTGCTTGTAGAAACAAGATGGTACCTTCAAGTATGAGGTCATGGATCATTAATTTTCTATGAATATTAAATATTCACATTAAATCTTCAAACATTTGCGCAGGAAGTCGCTGTTAGGGAAAAACCCACCAGCAGTAAGTGGTAATTTAGCAAGACTCTCAGAAACACATCAATCGAATACAGCCCAATCCCTGAAAAGCTCTGATGCAGTATCCATCAACATCACAACACCTGGGTTGCCTTGCCGGTAAATATCGTAGCCTACCGTACTCAAGCACAGCTCAGACTCAAAACGACAGCCCACCTGCCTCAACCCCCCCCCAACGTGACCAGCCCTCATTAAGTTGCAAGTACCGGTACCGGTACCTCTTCATCCGTATTTGTCCCTAGGATATTCCGAGATTGCGGATAGTTCAGGCAGGTCACAGTAAGAGCTCCCCGACCGCACTGCCCCCGGTAAAGATCTGAGGTTAACTAGGCAATTATGATAGCTGCGTTGAAAAGCTGCAAAATCTGTACTAGTACACAGATTACCGTAGGATGATACTCGTACCCTACATTTCATCAACCCCAACCACAAAACATTCGGGCATTCCCCATTGGGCCCATCACGATGAGTAATCAATAACTAATCACCCCCCCACTACGAGTACTCGAGTGCTTGAATCCCAGCCCCTTCCCCTAATTGGCCATCGGCCAAATCCCCTGTTACCCTCCTCACCCAATAAAACTATATAAACTCCCCATCCCTCCCATCCTTTCCCCTTCTTTTTCCTTTCCTTTTCTTCTTCATACTTACCTTGTGACAGACTCGGACGTTCATTGATATCTGAGACTCGGAGAACTCCACCTTCATTGCACACCGGGGGTAGAGCCTCTGCCAAAGGTCTTCGGGCCTTCTGGGTTGCTCAATTTTTGATTTATTCAATTTATCTTTTTTATCATACTTGATATTATTGATATTGGTTTTTTTTTCCGTTGGGGTCTGGGCTTTGTCGAGGCACTGAAGGAAGAATGAGTAAATGGGGATCTTGAATTGTTGGAAGGGGGAAGGAAACACGGGGTAGAGTGTTGTGATGAGTCAATGGCGTACGGAACGGATAGAGCTCTACTTGAGTACGGGGGTTGCTTTAGCTCTATGTGCTTTTTGTATGATAGTGTGTAAAAATGAAAAAGAGGATTTTGAGCGCTTTATGGTGAGAGTTTCCTCTGTCATGTCAGTTCTGAAGCCTGCAGGACGTGTGCGTCTTGTGAGGTGGAATTGGCAATGTTCGTAGAATGTGAGTTCAGTTTGCAGTAATTGACGAATGATATGCGCATGACGAACGATATCTACATGCGCCATGCATACTTCACTTCACATAAGCGCGAGTTTCAAGTCTTTGGGGGGGATTTGAGGGATGGATGGGGTGGAAAAAAAAAACACAAGGTCAATCCCCTGCTTTGAGCGGTGCTAGCTTTATCGCCAGCCATAAAGTATGCTACTCAAGTACGGTAATTACTAGTATATACGTTGCAACCACATCCGTCCACCGATTGTCTGACCAACTCCCATCTATCCCTCCTCCGAGAAAAGATCTCTCAAAACCGCATCCTCACAAGCCCCCGTATCCGGCGGTTTCATCCCATACGTGGCTTCGTAAACGAAGATACTTAGGTTACTGAAGAAAGGCCTCAGTAACTCAGATCTTATGTCACCCCCACCCTTTTCCAATTCCCTAACGTGATCACCAGTAAGCCATGGCCTCCGCCGATTCTCCACCATCGTGCCATGCGAGGAGGAAGAAGGTAGTTCGCTTGCAACTTGGTCCACGAGAGCGGTTGGATTCCAGTCGTTCGGGCGGTAAACTGCTTCTATCGTGTCTGTTACGAACAGCCATTCGTGTAATTGAAACTCGTCAGGAGCGATAACTAATAGGGTGTCCAAGAGTTTGCAAGCCTGCAGAATAGAGGAGTCTGTGTATATGTCGTTCTCCTCGTCAGGGAAGAGAGATGATAGAGCGGATTGTAATTCGGTGTTGATAAGCGGCCAGAGGGAGGAAATATGCACCGGAGAAGTCCTAAGAGCTAATGCCCGGAAGACGAGATAGATATCCCCTCTCGTGGCCGAGGATGGTGAAGTTACTGCCGTGGCAGATAGTAATTCGACCAGCTTGTCTTCTAGCTCAGGAAGATTAACAATAAAAGTGTCTGTCTCCGCCGCGAATATTAGGAATGCAATTCTTTTTAGGTTAAGTTGAGTCTTTTTATCGGCCTCCTGTCGTGCCGAGGTGGCACCCACTCCGAAAAGAACACCCGCTGTTGTAGGCGGGGTGATTCTCCCTAGAAGCTCCGTCATGCGTTCTCGTTCACTTACGAGGAGTTGTCGAGCTAACGGAACCCAGCTGCTTCTAACAAGTGAGATTGATGATGAGAAGAATTTGGGATCAAGGAAAGCGTCGGAGAGTTCCTTTTTCCAGGCCTTTTGATTATTAGGCAATCGTGTGAGTTGGTACAAAAGATCGAGTACCCCCCCTGTGACATTGTGCGGAAATGATTTGGACCTGAAGGTTGGACCTATTACGTTGGCCGAGATTGCAATGGAGGCAGCGACCACCCTATCGGGCTCGACGAGGACCTTGCGAAGTTCTGGCACGGTAGATACCAAGACGGCTACAATATCGACCGGGGGCGTTTTCCCCCTACTAGCTCGATCCCCCTTATTACCTCCGTCGCTTTCCTTTTCCATCTCCCTCTCTTTATCTCTATCTCCTCCAGCAACTGGTGCTGGCGATTCTAGCACATTCTGGCCAATGGGCTTGACCGTGAATGCTGCAGTTAGCAGCCTAGTGAAAAGATCCTGTGGAAAGAGTCAACGATAGTTCGAGAACAGTTGATGGGGGAATTGGCAATGGAAACCTACCCCTAGCTCCTTTCTCATTCGCCTCTGTTCTCCAAAGTTGGTATTGTCTACCTTTTCTCCTAGGATGGCCGTGAAGCTTAGTAAACCTGGCAATGTCTGACGGTGTGGGAATGGGTTGGCAAGAACATCTTTCAAGAAGACCATGCAATCTGCCCAGATTTCGTCCATAGCATCATCCTCTAAACTGCGAGCGTATTCTACTAAGAAAACTACGACATCAAGGTCTTGAAGTTCAGCGGTGAGTGCCGATTTACGGTTCGGTTCTAGCGCAGCCGGATTTGTTCTTGAGTAGATGGCATTAAAAATAGCGGGAATCGTGTGCTTGGGCCTCGATCCATCAAGTACATTGATAAGTCTGAACACACCCCCAGTTTTCTTGACATCGCTTGCTGGTGTCGATTTGGCGGGCCAGAGTTCAATCAAAGTCTCCAAACATTCAAGCGTTTCCGCGCCAAAGAGATGCTCCAGAATCCTGCGGGCACGCCCTCTCATTCGCACAATGATATATTGCCAACTCTCCTTGCTGCCGGGATCCGGCTCACTTTCCCCATTGATTGCGTGAGAATCGCCCCAACTCCAGATTGCATAGCAGCTTTTCACAGTATCTTTGAAACAAAGAAGCACCGTGAGGCGGTTATTGGCTGCTGAGCTTCTATGTTGCGGACTTTCGACCGCAAAGACACCGCTAACCATGTTACCGAAGAATGTGCTAGCTGTTGGCGCATCAGGGCTTTTCGCACTGGCCCCAGCACTCTTGATCTCTTCATTAACAAGTTTATCATGAGCTGCCGCAAGTATCTGTTCAAGGCCATGCAGAAGAGCAACCAAGGTGCCTTCCGGACTATTAACTAATGAAGTCGAGCCATTGTGTTCCCCCTGACTGAAGACCTGCTTTAATGTATGAAAGGTTTGTCTTATTTGTTCGCATAGACACTCAACCAGTGGCATTAGAATTTGAAATATAACGTTCTCCAACAAGGGCAAGCACTCGGTCAAGAAATTGACCCAACTGTCCAACACCGGTCGACTACTCGAGCTGGAAAATCCACCGATAAGGCATTTAAGAAGCTGCTGTGGTGGTGTAGCCTTGGGCGGTGCTATCATCGTTTTCTCTGGCTCAATGGATATTGGTGCCCGTCCTCCTTTAATACTTCCAGTATCCTTTTTGATTTGCCCCAATTGGCTCGCAGGTCTCATCAAAGAAAGCTTCAGCGCTGCAAATAATACGTCCAATAATGAAACCTGCACATATGTGTCCGTAACGTCTAGCGCTGAAATGAGCCGGGCAGTGAGAACGTTCTCGAGCTCCATATCCATGAGCGGTTTTACAAAAGGGCTTAGGAGCAGTTGGTGTAGCACTTTCAATGCTATCCTATGAAGGCGAGATACTCGCCCGACATCTTTTTTCTCTTTGGCATCACCATCAATGGCTCGCACGGCAGCTTTGACAAAAAATGTTTGAAGGGTCATATCATCTTCTCCGTATCCAGCTGTCGAGAACGAAAATGTTAGCTGCAAGAGACTTGATTTTATGAGAATGGTCCCTTACCTTCCACAAGAACTTTAGCCCGAGCCTCATCGGCCCCAATGACCAATTCACTTGCCAGGGCGGCTAGTACTGTGTTTGTGGAATACTGTAGGATGTTTGACAGCGTCTGGAAGTAGTAGGTAGCTATCTCCAAATCATCGTTTTCCCCGAATGGCTGTCTTCTAATTGGTGCGCCGTTGGCATCTCTCTGGCCGGGATCTCTCAGGAAACCCAATCCAAGAAGCTTTGTAATGAATACGCTGAACAGTCTTCGAAAATAAGCCCCTGGATATCCCCTAAGATGCAATACACCTGATGTGACATACCTATAAACACTCCCAAGATTCTGTAGCCAGCCGCGAGCGAAGACAGCCACCTCTAATCCGTCATCCCCTAATGCATCCAGGAATAAGAACAATGGTCTTGTCAAGACCATTTCTAACCCGCTTGCACTACTGGGGTGATTGCTACTGTGCATCCAGAGCACACCGAATTTCTTTCCATGCTCAGCGTTCCTTGAGGAATAGACGCCACCAACATCGCCTTCGGTCATCACAGTTGCAATTGCGGCTTCTATTTTTCTATCCGCTAGGACCATCTGAAGGTTCCAAATTACTTTTACCGCTTCCACATGAAATTTGGGTCTATCAGGTGACAAATAGCCCCAGACATGTTTAATAATAGGCAGGATCAGGGACCCAATATCATGCGGTGATATGTAACTCTTAATGTACAAAGGAGCCACCACATTCGCGATTCCTTGTAATGCGGCAAAAGACACAACTGGATTCGACAGAACGGTGAGGAAAGATTGGGCGAGCTGTGTTGATTCCTTCCAGCATTGGAACTGGGGGGTTTTCTGGATAACACTGACTAGTAAGTGGCACCGTACCCTTATGTCTTCATCGTTTTTGGGATCTGTCAAGGCGCTTTGGGCTGCCCTGGCAGCTTCTCGAAGAATCCATTGACCTACATTCTGGATGGAGAATGGCGGTCCAGCTGCGGATCCTCCACTATATCTATAAAACTGCTGTACCCCTTCCATGATCATTGCGTTGTCTGCGTGCTCTAGTTCTGAAGTCCCCTGTGCCGGTGTTGTAATGAAGACTCTCTCGGGGACCATTCGCCATAGGTCTTCGGCAATCCTGAGCCCCTTTGCTTGCAATGCTTTTCCAAGGCCCCCAGAGACTTTCCCCAGCTCTACGAGTATTGCTAGTACCAATAAGGGAGTATGTAGTACCACCATCTCTTCCTCATTCACATTGAAAGTTCTGATAACAAAACGCACACCCTCCAATATCTCTTCTGCTTCCGTTCCTTCCCCGGCTGAAAACGCCCGAGTAACCTTTTCCAATATTTGACCCCAAATGAGTGATGCTTCAACCCCATCAAAAAACATTCGGGCACTCTTGAGGACTTCTGTATAAACTTCCTTACTCGGTGCCGATTTCTCATATTGCCTTACGCTTTCGATCACAGGCAAAAACAGTTTGGGGACAACCAAAGAACCAACCTCCCAGCGATCCATTAAAGAAAGGCATATCCTGTACGGCTTTGCCCGTTCAATAGAACTAGCCCCCGTAGGCTGATCGAGCATCTTTTCCAACCCTCCGATCAAGGCACCGAGACCACATTTTCCAAAGTAATCGTTCTCGCGCCGTTCGTGTCCTTCCGGTCCGAGATACCAGGCCCAGAGGCGACGATTAAGCGACATATCTCTCCGTAAAACCACCCCAGCTGCTGAGGTTACTAGAAGCTCAAGATCAGGTTTGCTCACCCGCCCTTGCAGTATTTTTGAGCAAAGCGGGAGTGACCCCACCAGTAAGTCCAGGAAACCTCGTTGAACCAAGATCTGCTCATCATTCAGGCCCGCACAAAAGGCCCTAATCAAAAGTCCAGGTTCCGGGCTAATTAAGGCTTCAGAACCACTTCCTCCCGACTCCAAATTATCTCCACTTCTTTCGGGATCCAGTTTTGGGAGTCTCCTTCCCAGGAAAGCTAGCGCCCCCTGCCGCCTGCCTGGGCTTGTGATGGTAGCTAATAAGAAGCACTGCCAGAAATATGCATCATCACAAACCCCATTTCGAATTTCGTCTATCAAGGCCAGTGTTCGGTCAAAGTATTCACCGCCCTCCTCGTCAATACCAGGAAGTAAGGCTAATATTAAGCCTTTTAGAGCCGGCCGTAAAGCGGTCGAAAGGGGAAGGTAAAATCTCTCGAGAAGCGTAAGATAATGGGGCTTTAAGGTCAGGGATGCGTATGAGAGAACTGGTGCCAAACCGGGTGTCCACAGGGTCAGGTCTGCCGCAAGGCCCTCACGCCCAATCATAGAGAATATGTAGGAATAAACCTCAATTGTCTTCTGGTGAACTCCAGAGGGAAGTTGCGGATTTAGGCACTGTGCTAGTCGTTTTGCTATAAGGGTTTTTGACGGTATTAAAGGAAGTGAGGGGTGAGATTGGAGTGCCTATTTCTTTTATTTTAAATGAGTTAGCACAACTCTGGTAACTTTAACGGAATTCGCCAAAGGCAAGGATTATCAGTAACCTTGAGAAGTCGGCCGAGAAACGAGATATAATCAGCCCATTCTTGTAGACTATAGCTCTCGAATAGAGAAAGTGCACGATCAATGGTCGTAGAATATCGTTTGTATTTCGGGTCTTTTCTCGTAACTTCTGCAGACCAACTTGTTAACTGATGTTCTCTGATATAGCTTATGGGTAATTCGTGCCATCGTCATTTCGAAACTTCGGTCTTGGCTGAGGTGATGAGCGGCCAGAGCTTAAGGGGGATGGAATTCTGGAGCCAGGATCGAGAGACATTGGACTTGAAGATGAAAACCAGATTATTTTGACTGAAAATTACTGCAACATCGTAGCTTCCACTGAGCTTATGACAAACGGGGAAGTTTACTGGACTCGCAATGGGGTAACCTGGTACTTAGAAGGTTACCCTGCTTTCCTTGTAGACCCTATGACAGTATTCCAGGTTTCTATCATACTTCATTTTGACAGCCCCAGGAGCCTCATATAGACGGGCGCGCGCAACAACATACACCAAACAAACCACTTGAAGCGAGTTTTCTTCCTGTTACCCAGGGGTAGGCACCTCCACTCGCTACTTTCTACATTCCCCTTTTAATTTTTTTGACCAATCCCTGGCACCAGCCCAGATGTTATCCAGGCACCAAACCTTTGTCCGGGGCTTCCCGTTTTTATGCTCTAGTTTCCGAAGGGTTTCTACTTTCGGAACTACCCCAAGCTGCCCCACTATTCACACAGTCGGAAGGGTGCGGCGAATACGGTGAGCATTTATTGGCTTTCTGCACCTTACACTTTCATGAATTCTAAAGGCAATATAGTGGTGGGAATCCCAACTGGACTTCGCCGTTGGGCCGCCAAAAATTGTTCAGCAATGCTCCTCCGAATCCCAATTCTTCTTTAGGGTTGCATTTGAGGGATCAGTGTCTACTTTTAGATGTTACAGTTTCTGCTCTTGGGTTCACCGGACGATCAAATAGACGGAGTTTCTCAACTTCGGCCTCCCTAGTTGCTCAGGCGGGACATAAAGGGTCATCCGGGGACACAGATAGTGCTGATTTTGAGGGTGGGGTAGGAAGGCAAGGCCGGGATGGTACGGGAAGTCGGGATTCTAGGCATAGTTCTAAAGCTACTGATAGCAATGGACGAGTATTAAAGGTCAACACAAAAAAAGGGGCACTGGACATTTTGAAGATGATTCGTGCGGAAGTTGCGAAACTTCTATGGAGTGAGACCAAGGAGGAACCCAAGGAGGAACTCAAGGAGGAAGCCAAGGAGAAACCCAAGGAGAAACCCAAGGAGGAACTCAAGGAGGAACTCAAGGAGGAACTCAAGGAGGAACTCAAGGAGGAACTCAAGGAGGAACTCAAGGAGGAAGCCAAGGAGGAAGCCAAGGAAGAGACCAAGGAGGAAGCCAAGGAGGAAGCCAAGAAGGAAGCTAAGGAGGAGATCAACGAGGAAATCAACGAGGAAATCAACGAGGAAATCAAGGAGGAAACCAAGGGTGAAATCAAGGAGGAAATCAAGGAGGAAATCAAGGAAGAAAAGGTTAGCCCAATATCGGCGGACCCTGCTGTGGAAAAAGCATTGAAGGGTCCACCCCGCGAAATTCCAGACAAGTCATCCTTCGTCTTGCAAAGTAACTATGCAGACGTCATCGCTGTGGAAAAAGCATTGAAGGATCCACCCCGCGAAATTCCAGACAAGTCATCCTTCGTCTTGCAAAGTAACTATGCAGACGTCATCGCTGTGGAAAAAGCATTGAAGGATCCACCCCGCGAAATTCCAGACAAGTCATCCTTCGTCTTGCAAAGTAACTATGCAGACGTCATCGCTGTGGAAAAAGCATTGAAGGATCCACCCCGCGAAATCCCAGACAAGTCATCCTTCGTCTTGCAAAGTAACTATGCAGACGACATCATTGAGGAATTGAAGCAACCGGAGGTCCCCGAAAACAATTCTCCCAAACAGGAGCAGTTTGTGGAGCAAAGCTCTTACTCATTTCTTAGACTTGATTTAGAAGAGCAAGGGTCTTCTCCCAACACCACGTCAACTATAGGTATCCCTGATTTTAGTTCTTGTGTTGATGAGAGGGCTTCGGAAGTTACAGATTCAGAGACTAGTGGTTTCTCGCCCCGTGAAACCTCCGAATCGGGTAATAACTCACCCTGTGGAGTATCTGAGAAAACGCAGGTCGAGATTGATACACATTCAACAATTGTTAAGACTCCCGCGCCAGCAAAGAGAGCGGAGAAGGTGACCGTGGCAAAAGCTAGAGAGCGCAAGGCAGTTGTTGCCATCGAGAAAGCTATCGAGAAAGCTGAGACTGTCACTGAAGTTGAAGCTCCGCCAAAACCAAAGACTGGCAAGTCATTAGTTGAGTTCGCTAAACCGCTTCGCTGGACAGAACAGCCATACGCTCCGTTAACCTATCATATATCCGACGAGACGTTATTTAAAAAATTCTCCTTGAAAGATAATAGTCCCTTGAGGTATTGGCGCTACGATTTATATACGTGCAGCACGGGGGGGGAGAAGGTCAATGTCCATTATTGCAAAACAATTGAGGAGTTTGATCGGGTGGCCGAATTGTTTCTTAATGATAATATTCTCGGTTTTGATTTGGAATGGGTACCCGCGAACTATTCGGCCTCAAAATCCGCAAAGTAAGTTCGCTACAGATCCGAGTCTTCTCAAAAGTTTGATACCAACCACTCTATAGAGTCAACGCATCGTTGATGCAGATAGCAAATGAAAGCGACATCGCATTATTCCATTTTGCCAGAGTTCCAGGTATGTTGTTGCGCAAGATTCATCTGTCTTAGCTAATTATGTTCATAGGCCAGATTCCCGATTTTGAGTTGGTACCGCCAAATCTTAGAAGAGTGTTGGAGTCAGAGAATATCATGAAAGCAGGCGTAAGTGTGACAGGTATCTTCACCTCTGCGCCTCTGTTGTTCTGCCAATCAACTCTAACCATATTGCATGAATTAGGCGATGCAAAGAGAGTCTCTAAATTCCTTGGTGTCCACTCTGCTGGAATTTTCGAGCTGTCTGATCTGTGGAATCTTGTCCATGATGTGAGAACCTTGGCAGGTTCTATTACTCGACGTTTGATTGCTCTTTCTAGATTAACTGAGGAATGCCTCTATCTTCCCTTAGACAAGAGCGCCTCAAGGATAAGCAATTGGGCGGTTGAGTTAAGTAATAAACAAGTACAATGTAAGTTTTCAGAAAAATAGAAAAGGCAGGATGACATGGGCCTGCCTACAGTGGTTGAGAAGTTGACTTTAATTCTTTAGATGCGGCGAATGATGCCTATGCGGCATTCCGCGTCTTCGACGCATTAGAGAGGGAAAGACGTGAACTTACTCCTATTCCTAGGTTTCCAGGGTGCCGAATCATACCCCCACAGGAGCCGCCTTCCGACAACGACTATCCTATCATTGAAGAGGAGGTAGAAGAGTACGATTATGAACCAGAACGCACCAACCTTGATGGACCTGAGGTCGAAGCGGCCAATTCATGGGCAACCATGTTTTTGAGTGCGCTTGCCGGAAGTGGTATAGAAGCAAAGGCTCAACATTCACAGCTAAAGGCCTATTCGCTGTGGCACGGCGGGGAGCACTCTGTGGAAGAAATCACGAAACTTTGTCGGAACCCACCTTTAAAAGAGACGACGGTTGTCATGCACATCTTGGAAGCTATTCAGCTCGAGAATCTCCCCTATGATGATGGAAAATTAGCAGAGTTGAGAAGGCGTATCCCGAAGCCATTCGTAAATGGCAAGTATCATTGGGTATTCTCTGCGCCCAATAAGGATGTTGGGAATAGGGATGTCTACCTTTAGAAGCTCATGATGATTTCCCCAACCGCAATAAAAAAATATATATATACAAAGAACCTCCATATATCCTAGCTTCTTTTCTTTTTCCAATTAATCTCTCTCAATGCGAGTTTCATGGGTCCTAGGTATATAGTAGGGATCACGATTTACCATCTCTCGCACATGTGTATCATAAGCAACTTCATATAAAACTTTGTCTTGGTACTGTACCTTCTCAAACTAATGTTACCTCACCGCTTACACTATCCTCTGAATATGTATGACCTTTTCTGTTTCTGTTGAGAAAGGAAATCTACTCGAGTTACACTCTCTATGTTTTTCTTTTTTTCAGGGATTGACCGCACATTTGCATTCGCCGAGGGCCGTGCTAGGAGTCTCGCTCTGGAGACTCGGGTGTACAGTGAAATCTTTGAACTCAGTAGTTTACGATGTACCGATCAGACCAAGTACTGTTACATAATACAGAACAATATGCAACCTGTTCTCGCCAGGGACACCACGATGCAGGAGAGGTGTTGACCTTTCCAGGATTCTAAATCTGTGTCACTCTTAGCATTCAGAAAATCCTCTCCTTTCCAGGCTTTCTTGAGTAGAAAATGGTGATGTGTGCTATTAAATTTTAAAAAGTTCTGTAAAAAACACTTCTTCGTCTCTCCGAGAACCGGGGTTTGATATTATTTGCTCTATTGCGATATTACCGTAGTTCAAGATCCATGCTCTGATTGAGCAGCCCAATGGTCTCCAAATAGCTGCTGAATGCTTGTTCTGTGACCGGTGTTTTGCTTTTTCCCACAACTAGTTGCCGACTAATTTGGGGGAAAGCAATTGAGTTAGCCGCCGGTAATAAACACGGATACGTATATCATTCGTTTTTCAGCTCAATTCCAATTATGGGGCCAACTTTTTCCTACTGTGCAGCTGCCAATATGCCACCTTGCATAGATTCTTTACAATGCAATGTTCCATCCCCTTCCTTCTCGCCGCTGTCCTTAGGAACCGGACCGTGTTGTCAACCCGCTGTTGTGAAAATCGATTAGGATTCGAACTTCGAAAAGCTTTCCGTAGTTTTTCTCGAATAGAATATCGTGCAGGAGAGGAATATTGAACGGCGGCCAGTCCAGCTTTGTAGAGGGCGCGATAAGAGTGAATAATGGTGGTGGAATCAGGAACCATTTTTCGTTTTTATATTGCTCCCTGCTGGCTGTTCTGAAAGGCTTTTGCTAAATAGAAATGAGTATGATGTTAGTCGTAGGGTTTCATGATACAAGCAGCGGCAGGGGTTTATTCCGCTTTATGCCTTACCCGGCCTACCGTACGGTACAATACTATGATCCTGGTTGGGTTATCGCTTACGTAACAGGGACCATGAAACAACTATTGATTTGGCTACAACCGCGCTCACCTGTTGAAAACCCCGTTCTGTGTCCAGCAACAACAACCACCCCTCATTCACCTACCTCCTTCCTTCCACATTTCCCAACCACAGTTCTTGATCATCTCTATCCAGACTCCCTTCTGTCTGCTGATAACTTTCATTTAGAATTTTAGCCTCCATAGAGACCCCAAATATCCCTGCGCAAGATGACTGAGTACGTGTAAGCTTCCTGTTCCCGTTTCGATTGAGCGGCCCCAAACGGACTATTGACGATTTTGATATAGACCAGCGCGCCAACAGTATGGTGTTACACCACCGATATCCGTTGCGACACCTACCGACAAGGAAGTTGAGCGCAATCAAGCTCTTATCGAAGAGTTGAAAAAGCAGGGGAGCTTTGAGGGAGCAGAAGAGAGTCAGAAGCGGTTTGTGCCTTTGCTTTGAGAGTCGATCAATCTCATTGGCTAATTGGGTTTGTGCGTATGATAGTGTCCTGGTTTTGAATACTCTACAGAATCTTACCGAGGGCTTTGTGAAAAAAGTTTGTGCCAACAAGGGCATGCCCGAACATATCATTAAAAATTCAGGGGGGAAGATCTTCACTTATGGGAGCTACCGTCTGGGTGTATACGCGCCAGGTGAATACTCGCTATTTTATTTGCTTGTACTCCTCGTGGTTTGCCTTTTATGAGCTAACTTTTCCACCGTGTTATAGGTTCTGATATCGATACTCTCCTTGTTACTCCGGCGCATATTACCCGGCATGACTTCTTTGCAACCCTCCCTGCTATGCTTCAGGAATTGGTTCCCCCGCCGGAAGATCTTTCAATGGTTCCTGATGCCTTCGTCCCGATTATAAAGTTCAAATTACAATCTATCTCCATTGATTTAATCTTTGCGAGACTTGCCAACGTAAACTCGGTTCCGAAGGATATGGCACTCAGTGACAAGGAGCTGCTAAGAGGGTGTGACGAAGTTAATCTTCGTTGTTTAAATGGCACCCGGGTTACTGATGAAATATTAACTCTTGTTCCCAAACCTGGTGTCTTTAGGATGGCATTGAGGGGGATAAAGCTCTGGGCACAACGTAAACATCGCTTTCCAAAACCCGTTCTTTCGCTGATTTGGTCTTAAGGGCGCGCTATTTATGCCAACGTTATGGGATTCCCCGGTGGTGTGGCGTGGGCTATGCTTGTTGCTAGGATCTGCCAACTTTACCCTATGGCCGTTAGCGCAGTTGTCATAAGCAAGTTCTTCAAGATTTTGGCTCATTGGACTTGGCCTCAACCAGTCCTTTTGAAAGGTATTGAAGATGGTCCATTGAGTGTTCGGGTCTGGAACCCTAAGGTGGGCTATGTTTGGTCAAATCGGAGTATTCTCAAATGCTAATGCCCTTAAGATATATCCTTCTGATCGTGGACACCTAATGCCCATCATTACCCCAGCGTATCCAAGTATGTGCGCTACTCACAACATAACCAAATCTACCAAATCAATCATTATTCGAGAAATGAAACATGCTGCTGAAATAATGGACGGTATTATGGTCGGCAACTTGAGCTGGGATAAGCTTTTTGAGCGCCATTCATTCTTTACAAATGGCTATCGGTACTACTTGAGTGTAGTCGCTGCTGCTAAAGACAAAGATACGTTACTTGGATGGTAGGCTGTTTCCCTCATTTTCTGTTTCCTGGTGTCTCACTCTCAGCAGGTCTGGCCTTGTGGAGTCTAAGCTTCGTCACTTAGTCATGAAGCTCGAGATACTTGAAACCATCAAACTTGCACACCCTTTCAACAAAGGATTTGATAACGTTCACTTTTGTGAGACTGAGGAGGAAGCTATCCGCATTGCTAACGGTGAAATAAAAGCTATTGATAACCAAGTGGGTGTGAAGACAGTAGTCACAGATCTCAAAGCAGAGCAGAATGGAGATGTTGAGAAGAAAGAAGACGAATCCAAGTTTAAAGTTTACACCACAACTTATTATGTTGGGTTGGAGATTAACACCGGTAATTACTTTTTTTATTGTCCCAAATTTCGTATGTACTTACCCATCCAGAAATTTCGAAGCACATCGACATATCCTGGGCGAGCCAGGAGTTCTTCGAAACTTGTAAAACCTGGCCGTCCTATAACGAGGATGAACACACTATTCATATCAATCTCGCGCGCAAGTAAGCATATCCCAAGCTCTTTTTTCCCCTCTAGTATTTGAGGACCGTCCCGGCTTACCAAATATTGACTCAAGTTTTGAACTTCCGGATAATGTTTTCCAACCTGGTGAGACTAAGCCAGTAAAAAAAACCAAAAAGAAGATCATCAAGAGGAAGGCTGGCACCGCAAATGGCGGATCGGCCACAAAAAAGAGATCAGCGGATGAGGTACGTATGGGTTCTACATGTTGTCCTAAACGGGAGGAGGTAAGATGCAAAAAAAGCCAAAAACACATGAGGAGCCCCCACTGGCAGATTCCTAATTAGCGCTATCGGCGGGAAAAGGAAGGGCGCGCTGAGAGTAGTTGACCCCCTCAAGACCACAGAATATGAAAAACGAAAGAAAAAAAAGTATGAGAAGGGAGGAAAAGAAGCATCAAAAAAGAAGCTGAGGGAAAGGGGAAACCATCACAGCAAAAATGGATCAGTTTGCAAAACCTCCTCCCCGACTACGGACCAAGTGATGAATAGCAGTAATCCTCCGCATAGAGCAACGAATTGGCTAATTACATGTCACCACCCGATTCATGGCGGTTCCATCTCATAGGCTTCGATCAACGATGACACTAAACGTGCAAGGCAGACTTCGGTCCACCAGCAACAACCTGCACAGGCGTAGTCCCTTCGGGGGCATTCAGAGTGGGGCTATCGTGCGAATTACCCTCCTTTCCTTCACCCCTCTTTCGCATTTGTTCCTGTACTTGGGCCGGTTTTGCTTTCAAAATCGGCTCAAGATATTTCTACGTGATGATCTAGTGTCCCAAGTGTGATAGGTTCGCGGATTCTGATAATTCTTATCGTTTAGATGCGATAGGTATCGATCCCCGAACAAAAGCGTGTCCTCTTTCTTTTTTCGTCTTTCATCCCCCCCTTTTTTTTCACCTGGATATCAATTGGGATCTGTCGCCCCAGCCCATGGCTCCATTCGACTTCTGCTGGCGTTCACGTGTTGGAATTTTGTTTCGTGATCAACGCACTCGAGTACTCATTCATGATCGTTGGCCTACTTCCCCTTGCTACTTTCAAAAGCCACTAACAAAATCACAACCTCCATCACGAAACCAAGCAACATTTTTTTGATGGGATACCCTGTCTAATCGGGTTGTTTTTTCTTCCCCTCCTCTACTCATCATAGTGGATTAAGCTATGCATACCATATATTGTTCTCGGGCAGCTGCTCAACATTAAGGACCAACAGCATCCATCTTTTCATTCTGTGGAATTCTGAATTGGAAATGGATTGATTAGTACGGGGACAATAGGCAGCCACTAGAGGACTTAGCTGCGCAACTCAAGATGCTCTCACGATTGGTGGTCTATATAAGGCTGGGATTTTTGCAACTTGGATTTCGTTTCGTGTAATACATAGTCTGGCCTTCCGTTGTATCGCAGCAACTATTCTAGTGCCGTTGTTGTTCATCCGCAGAGCTTTAATTCCTTTTGTCATTTGGCTCATTTAGTATACCGGTTGCTTGGGTGGTCTTTCCTTTGACATTTTTTTCGCGATTCTAAAATAAAGCTTAGCATTTGGGATTGTATAATATTAGTATTTTGTAGTACGAAACAATATTTCTCGCAGCATTGGTCTGTAATCAGAGTGTCTTCAATCCCATGAAATGAAAACTATTCAGTAATATGATGCTGGTGCTATGTTCTGGGGTAGTGCTCGGGTGACACATCAACTATCATACAGGATTCGCTCGGGGCATGTGAGTCGATTTGAAGGAATAATGTGAAAAGACCAGATTTTTCACCAGAAGATATTATCCACCCCAGAGTGTCTTCTTGATATGGAAGAAAAAATCGTGCTCTGAGCCGTCTTATGGAAGTGTACCGTAGTATTTTGGTTAAAATTCTGACTAAGCTATGTGATGTTTGCACCACTGGAATCACGAGGGATGTCCTACCGAGCGTGAACAGTACAGTATCATACCTACACACCTAAGAATGCCCAAACCACGAACCGACCCCAAAGCTCCCTCACCATAGTTCCAACACCCAAAACAACCACAGCTTCTCAATATCATCCCATATGGCGGTAAGTCTCCCCTTAAGTTTCCAAAGGCTCTATCCATGAGTAACACTCACACCACCTCTCTCTCTAGAATCTTGGTATAACCACCGTCGGGGAAGCCAAGGAAATCCGAGGCATGAACCTCATCGCTGCCCACTCACACATCCGCGGCCTCGGAATCGATGCAGAGACTCTCGAGCCACGGGCGGCCTCCCAGGGCCTCGTCGGTCAAGCCCGCGCGCGCAAGGCCGCGGCAATCATCCTGAAGATGGTGCAGGAGGGCAAGATCGCTGGCAGGGCCGTGTTGATGGCTGGACCTCCGAGCACGGGGAAGACGGCGATCGCTATGGCTATGGCGCAGAGCCTCGGACCAGACGTGCCGTTCACGATGTTATCGAGTTCGGAGATCTTCTCTTTGGACATGAGCAAGACTGAGGCCCTCACGCAGGCTTTCAGACAGAGTATCGGTGTTCGGATTAAGGAAGAGAGCGAGGTTATTGAAGGGGAGGTCGTGGAGATTCAGATTGATAGATCTGTTACGGGGGTATTTCATCCTCGTTCTTTTCTGCTGCTATCGCCTGCTGGAGGCAATCTCACGCACACAACAACCGCTAACACACTAAAAGGGCCACAAACAAGGAAAACTCACTATGAAAACCACTGACATGGAAACAATGTACGACCTGGGCACCAAGATGATCGACGGCCTCACAAAGGAGAAAGTAATGGCCGGCGATATTATCAGCATTGACAAGTCCTCCGGGAAAATCACCAAGCTCGGCCGTTCATTCACTCGATCCCGTGACTACGACGCGATGGGTCCCGACACAAAGTTCGTCCAATGCCCCGAGGGCGAGATCCAGACACGCAAGGAATCGGTCCACACCGTCTCCCTGCACGAGATCGACGTCATCAACTCCCGCACCCAGGGCTTCCTCGCGCTCTTCTCCGGCGACACCGGTGAGATTCGCAGTGAGGTCCGTGACCAGATTAATATCAAGGTTGGGGAGTGGAAGGAGGAAGGCAAGGCTGAGATCGTGCCCGGCGTGCTGTTCATCGACGAGGTGCATATGCTGGATATCGAGTGCTTCTCGTATATCAATAGAGCCTTGGAAAGTGAACTCTCGCCGATTGTTATCATGGCGAGTAATCGTGGGAACACCAGGATTCGCGGGACGAACTACAGGAGCCCGCATGGGCTTCCATTGGACTTTTTGGACAGGGTGGTTATCATGCCGACGTACCCTTATGGACCTGAGGAAATTAAGGAGATTCTTGCCATTAGGTATACATAATCCCATAAGCCACCAAGTTAACCACCCGTTTATCGATCTGCTAACGGGTCGTCTACAGGGCTCAAGAAGAAGAAATAACCCTCTCTCCTGATGCCCTCGCTCTCCTCACCAAGATAGGCCAGGAAACCGGCCTCCGTTACAGTTCCCATCTTATCACCACTGCAAGCCTTATCGCCGCAAAGAGGAAATCAAGCTTGGTCGAGGTTGGCGACGTCCAACGAAGCTACAAGCTCTTCTTCGACCAAGGGCGAAGCTCTCAATATCTCCAAGAGTACGAAAAGAAATTTATCAGCGAGGAAGGCAACGTTACATTCGCTGGTGGTGATACTACAGCCGGCGGGGGAGATAGGATGGAAATTTCATAGAGAAGTGGGGTTGCGTTATCAAGGCTGTTCTTTCTTCTTACTCTTGCCACATACAAAAAGCGATTGGGGGGGGTGGGGAATATCTAGTAATGATTATGCTCTGTATTTTTAAAAGTAGCGATTCCGATTCACGAAGATAGATTCGGGTTCTTGCACTTAAAAATAGTATCATACTGTATGTGATTTTCTATCGTGCTTTTTTTCTCTCTTCGAAAGCCCCGATGAATTTGTAGCCGGAGGGGGTATTATGTACAATATCTGCAAACTAGGAGAGAAAGACAAAGCAAAGGGGAAAAATGGGCCTGTACCTGGAAGAAAAAAAAGAAGCCTTCAGCATATGCACGCGATAGGTTCTATTTTCCACCATCCACCACCCTCTTCATTTCTCCTGCGATCCTGCCAAAGAAGCCGACACCATCATAGACCATGCCGGTGTACCCCATGACAATCTTAGCACCACGTTTCCTAGCCTCTAGGACGTCCTTCCCACTGGTGATCCCTCCAGAGGCAAAAACAACAGCGTTATCGCCAAGCTCCTTGGAATACCTCTCGACAAGCTTCAACATATTCCGCAGCAGCACCGGTCCAGAGAGTCCTCCAATCTCTTTGTGAAACACCCTCTTCTCCTCCTCAGATACCTGCGGCGAGGCAAGCACGCTCAGTGGCCTCTTGACAGTGGTGTTCGCTACAATGACCCCTGCGACGCCGGCGAACTTGACAGCGGCGGAAATGCCCTTGATATCCTCTACGCCATCGCTATCCGGGGAAATCTTGACAACAACCTTCGGCTTGACCTTCCTGTCAGCCTTCTGCGCCGCAAGCACTACGACAGCTAGCAATTCCTGCAGACTCTCGCGCTTCTGCAAGGACCTCAATCCGGGAGTGTTGGGGGAGGAAACGTTAACGACGAGGATGTCAGCGTACCTCCCCAGTTTCTCCACGCAGGTGATGTAGTCCCTCTTGACAGCCTCCATGTCCGTTTCTACGGTGGATTTATTCTTCCCAATCTGCACGGCAAGTAAGCGGTTTGGCCAGAGGCTCGCGGGGATCTCGGTGCTGTCCAGGACTTCGCGCTCTGTTAGTCCGTGTTTGAGTGCGTATCTGCGCACCCGGTCGCGCAGGCGAACAGAAACGGTGTCGGCACCAACGGAGTTGAAGCCGTAGCGGTTGATGATGGAGCTGGAGGTGGGCAGACGGAACATGCGCGGTTTCGGGTTGCCCTCCTGGGGCAGGGGCGTTATGCAGCCGATTTCGAGCAGGGAGATCGCCGGGGAGAGATTGAAGAGAGGGTCTATACATTCCGCGTGCTTGTCTAAGCCGGCGGAGATTGCGAGGGGGGTTTTGAGGTTGTGGCCGAATAGCTAGGATAACACTTCACCGTTAGCTACCGCGGACGGCAAGGGGGGCTTGTGCTTAGAAAGGGAACAACCTCTACACCTAGCTCCTCATTCGCAAGATATTCGTGCGCCCCCCGCTCCCGTAGACCGAAGCCCAAATTGTACAGTACCCTCAAAGCCTTCAATCCAACTTCGTGTGCCCTCTCGGCTCCCGATCCCTTCCCACCAGCATCCACGGGGATATCGTCACCGCTGTATATCAGCCTCAGGAGCGGTACTACCTGGTACTTGTGCACGGCGGAGCGAGTATCTGTAAAGTAAAGATATCTGCCCACCCAACCCATCATCAGTCAAAAAAAAATTGAGTCAATCGCATCAAAAACGGGGGACACGGGTGACGAACGAGAACCCAAGCGCACCAACAATGGTACCGCCAATAATGCCATTGCGAACTTTGTCCCCCGGACGGTCCAGATTGTACGCTTTTGTGGAAAAGCCTCTTATTCTTGTCCGGCGGAGGGTGGTGACCGGGATTGATAGTATGCAGAAACTGGGGCAGGTGGTCCGAGTGATTAGAGAGGTTGAGGGACAGAATCGGATTAAAGGCATTGTAGAAGTTGTGAAGGGTGGGAATTGGACGTGGGGCTCACTATTGATGCTCTCCAACTGTTTTGCGGCTGAAGATCAGACGACAGGGGTGGAGCGGTTAGTTACCCGGACAAGACATAGCGGGTTTGGTGGGGTACCGGTATGCCCTTTTGGCAAAGCTCTACTCGTACGAGTATTGTACTCGTACTTGAGCACCCTAATTTACCCGAGTACTGTGCGAGATAGTACACACTCCTACGCCATTGGTCAGCGAGCAACCAACTAGGCAGGAATGGGTATGCCCCATGACATATTATCAATCCTCAAGCATGGCATATTGAGATTTAGGTCATGAGCGATCAATACCTGTATGCCGGGATAGCCATTGCATACCCACACACCAATCACTCTCTATCCATTAAAATTGTTATTTCCATGATGAAGTATAACCCTCTGGAGCTTCTCATGAAATCCTTGACTGCTCGTTTTTTTTTGGAGCCAGCCTTGCTCTCGAACAGTACTGCACTCGAGCAAATTAGATAGCTGGTGAGAATATTAACACGACATCTTGTGGAAAAGAGAATAAGGGAAATTTAAGACATCTCACAGTGCTCCTGAAACACTCTCTTCATAAGAGAATTCTACCCTTCTCGTCGCTTTACATCAGAGTCTTGCAGAGCAGCATAAGAGCCGTAGCAGCTTCTACAGTTCTACAAGCACTTAAACACGGAATGATCTCGCCCCATCCCCACGGTCCAGGGCGGCTTGGGAGTGCCTCGGCCAGATTGTATATATGTACCAAGTTTCTCGCAGGGACTGAGAATTGATCGTTAGGCAATAATATTTTTGTCTTGCTTGATTTTCCCTTCGTCCCCTATCATAAATTTATCGACTGGATTGAAAAAAAAAAACCTAAAAAAAACCGGGCATCATACTTAGAAACCATACCTTGATATGGGAATAATTTGATCTAAGCTATTTTCTAACTTCCAGATTTTTACAGATTTTTACAAATTCTTGTAGGGGGTCCTCCAATAATTAGAAGAATAACCGTTAAATTAGATAGCGCCCTAGCAAAGTTTGACCGCAGACAGACATATTCGGGGTTGATCGTACGAGAACGGTTAACAGGAGCTTGGCGCTTCTTGACAGCAGTTGGAACGATCTCCCCTCCCTCCCCTGCCTGGTTACTGACTGGACTTTCCAGGGAGCCTCTGTCTCAAAGTAGATGCCATGTAAGGACACTGCACGGAGATACTCAATTTGATCAGTTAATATGGCAGCCGTTTGATCTTGATCAAGGTGGGATTTTGTTTCACCAAGACTTCGGTCTAGTGACTGACTGTGTGTAGTGGTCGGAGCATTCAAACGCTGCTTATTGGGATTTCATAATCACTTCACTGGCGGAACCACTGTGGGAATGAGCTTTGATCCCTAAATGATAAAAACCCCAGCAAGTTTATTGTGCGGGAGCTCGTCGCGCGCTAGCACATTTAGCGATGTTCAGAGAGAGAAAAGAGGCTTAATAGTCTACATGGGCAATAATGGGTTTGTATCTCCGATCAAGGAAGGGAAGAAAGCAGAAGGGAAGCCAAGATCGGCGGTAGATAAAAAACATGGAGAAATAAAACGAAAGAAGAGATGAGAAATGATGAGAAAGCGGCATGCCATGATTGAATAAGGAATGACAGTAGAGTTGGGAGAAGAGAGGGGAAGGGATGGGAAAGAACTAGGGTAGCCTAACGGTAAAGGAGTAGAAAAGGCTGGTAGAGGGTAGGACTATTGCTGTTGCGAAGGGAGACCAAGCTTGGTCTGAGCAGCGGATGATCACTAAATCCAAGAAGCGCCGGGCTGCGAGTGATACTTTGTGATGACGACAGAACCCACATCTAACATTTTTCTTATTTATGATAGCCTAGGAAATTACAGACAAGAATGTACAGCATAAGAAATTAATTAGGGTTAAACGTAGACTTCTAGTCTCCGGTGCACACAGATATCGCCTTGTCATCAAATTCTGAATTCTATCAACACAAACCCCCTATTCCCTTAATCAGAACAGGCCTAGGATATCCTCGTTTGCTTTCTTCTGTAGTTGTGGTTGTGATGCTGCTTGGGAACCGAGGCCTAATCCTTCGAGTCCAGCCAATACTCCACTATTTGTGCTGCCGTTTGCAGGTGCTACGGATTCCGTACCGAATAAACTGAGAAGGTCGTCCAGATTATTACCCGTGCCACTGGTAGGTGATGTTGGTGAAGCCACACGAGCGGGAGAGTCTATAACGAGCGATTCTAGGCCTCCTGGTTGAGGCGTTTGAGTAGATGCACTTGCGGGTGCTGCTCCATCAAAGTCAATGTCAAGTAGGTTTTCCATGTTTTGCCCTTTGGCGGCTGCAGAAGCTTGTATGGGGTTTTCGCGGGCGTTCTGAAGTTGCTCTCTATAGAGGAGGTCAGCACTAGCATAGATCATTAAACAGTATGAGAAATCTCACTCTATAGCTCTCTTTTGAACAGCGTCGGCCCCAAAGCTTCCTTGCCCAACAAAAGTTGCTGCAGGCTTGTGATAAACAGAGGCCAAAGTCGATATCTCCCCGAGTAATTCTTCAAGAAGCCCAACCGGTAGCGATTGGATCGTAGAGGTAATAGGTGGTTTGTCGGAAAGGACGATGCTCTGCGATGAGATCAGTAATGATAAATTTATGCATTGGAGGTGATCCACTAGGCTCACCTTAGCCACTTCAGGGTCTTTAGAAAGCAAGCGCCAATAGACGTATGCTCGATCTCGGATATCCGGATTGTCGCATTCTGAAGTCGCACTTTGAAGAATTTGTTGAACGACTGCTTGAGATTGTGGTTTCTTCAAGAAGAGCTTTACACCTGCTGTTAACAGTTGCAGTTGCACTTGAGTATATTCGTCCTTGAAACCTTCCATAAAAGTTTGTAGTAGCTCATCGGCGTTGTTAATTTTTTCGGCGTATTCACCAATCACCCAGATCAACGATCCTCTAGCATTTGGCTCGTCAAGTTCATCCAAACTTTCACAAAGCTTAGGGATAATCCCCTCATATCCGGGATATTTCCGGAATATATCCTGTTTCGTGTTAGCTCGACAGACATTCCGAGGTTGCAGAACGTACCTTGATGACGACAATTGCCTCTTGGACAACATAGTTCACCTTGGTGTTAATCAATTCTAGCAGTACATTAACACATTTGCCTGTAGCACTGTCTATCTTGATTGCGCACTGTCCAATGGCTCGTACCGCCCGCCGCACAAAGTCCATATCTACCTCGAGTGCATATTCCTTTAGTTCTGAGAGAAGTTGGTCCACATTCTTTTCATTGGCAATCCGAATCATGATTTCGAGCTTCTCCAGCTTAACGTAGGGTGGATCATTGTATTTACAGAAGAAGACCCGCATTTCTTTTGTAAGTATATCTGGTTGCTTTTGGAGTAGGAGATTGATGTTTCGTAGAGCAACGTATTGTACCTCTGGTTGAGAAGAGACGAGAGTAACTAGATTGTATTAGCTAAAACTCCTTACCCCCAATGCGGAATTGTCCCACCAAGCGGCGGTGCCATTTTCCGAAGATACTGGCGACATAGCTCTGCGCTGATCACCTTCATGTGTAGAAACACTACTTTGACAGCAGCAAGCACCACACTAGGGTTCACGTGCTGAAACTGTGGCACTACTCTTTCACAGATATGTTCGGCCTCCTTCACATCCGCCGCTTTATACTCAGCAAGGGTGGTAAGAATGGTTATTCTACCCCATCTATTTTTATTATTGTTAGTTTGTGAAAACACAAACGAGAATAAATCGCATCATGGAAGCCCTACTCTGTGCACTCGTTCAATGCCATCAATAGTTTCTTAAGAATTGCAGGTGTAACAGCTAGGGCTTCTGTCTCTGGAGCAGCCTCATTGATCTCCGCAAGAGCTGTCACAGAATTTGCGACCACCTGGCGGGCAAAGTTTAGCAAGAGTTAGAATCGCTACCTAAAGTGCTTCTCACCATGGGATTTGAATCACCAATCATTTCCTGGAGAGTTGTAAGAAATCCGTTCTCCAAACATAAAGATGGGTTAAGGTCGAAAAGCTTTGCCACGCAGATAGCTGCCGTTTTTCTTACGTATGGGCTCTCGTCCTATTACCAGATGTCATTAGTCTAGCTTTCCTGTGCTAATGTGACACAGTCGCTTACCTTTAGCGTTTTCCGTAGTGGCTCTTCCATATAGTCAACAATTTTGTCGACACGAATACAGCCCATAGTCCTGATAGCCAATGCTCTTATCAATGGATTTGGGTCCTCAGAGTCCTGTAATCTTAGAAATTAGAAACTTCTGGTGCTAAAGCCTAAAAGTTTGACGAACCTGTACGAATGTGTTAACGGCTAGAATGCAGAGGTCTGGATGTGTCTTTGCGTAGTTCCTGGCATATAATGTTAGAATCCTGTACACACATAGACTGCTTAGTGAAGAGAGGCGAACATTAGGTAAAGGTAAACGAGCTTCTTCTGATCGAGATCACCAGTAGCCTAGCCGTGCGGCGTTAATAGTATACTCTTGTAAAAAAATTTATGGGCATCACACCATATTTTTGATAATGTCTGGAAACAGAGCCGACACATCTTTTCCCAATGTCATAGCAGCGATAGTGTTCCTGATTGCATCCTTCCTATGAACAGGCCATCTTAGTAAATTGCCACCAGAGACTGAGGAAGGAAAAAGGAACAGAGTCACCAGCTAACCTCTCATGGGCGAACTGTGAGTTCAAACCGGTCCTCAGCTCGAAGGTTTCTCCCTTTCGTGGGGCAACCGGGAACATGCTCCTGATTCTGTTGGCCGCCATGGCGGTGTTGGATTGAAGAGTCAGTTACTAGGTAGAATGAGCGTAACTAGTATTGATGATAGTAATAGCCGGAAGATTGATTTGACGGAATCAAGACTTGAAAAGTGGGTCCAGTCGTTAAGCTTGTGCTTGTTGTAAAGTGGGAATGTAAGTCAACGGATGGTTGCGGTCAGCGCAATCCGAAAAGTAGACAGGGACAGGCAGCAACAAGAGCTCATTAACCTGCTAGCACGTGCTTGGCCCCCCACCGCAGGGTAACATCCGGAGTTTCTGATCAACAATCATCACCTGTGTTCCTGCAATGAGATAACCTAGATTACCCATCTGAGTTAACAATAGAATCTGTGATGGTGAGTTAGATTTTGATTTATTTTGGAACATTGCTTAGAAGTTAATTGTATCTAGGCATCATTCGAGCTTCCAAATTTGCGAAAGCTATTCGCTGCTTCAAGGAGCGAACAGGAGGAAAGTGCCTACAGCAGGACTGCGGTTGGTTAAACCTCAGACACTACCTGCAATGAGAAATACAAACTAATATACCACGGAGGGAACCAAGTTTTACAATTTACTATTCTTCGTAACTTCTATCGCTGCCTTCAGCTATGCTGCACAAAGACTCGCGCCCACGAAAGTATTAAATCGGTAGATAGCATCTCGATGTTATAAAGGGAAAACTACTCTGTACTGTAGAGAAAAATACGCTATAAATCACACAAAATCCTTACCCCGCAGAACTAAATTGGTCTGAAGGTCCATAGCCCCTAATCCAACAAAAATATCAGGCATACCATCATACAAAAACCTGAGCAGATTATAAAAATAAAACAGGATAAACACCAAACAGGCATTGATCATTAATGGTGGCAGGCTGCCAGCATGAGAAAAGAAAGAGGGTATAATAAAAGAACAATGTATTAGTTAATAGCATCAATCAGAGTCGCTTTGGTCATCGAGGAAAGCGAGATCTTCCATTCCACGGATTTGCTGTATTCAAAATTAGAATATAATTGTCGGGGGGAAGGGGTGAGGTGAACCTTCTTCTCTACGGTTGATACAGATGGAGCGCTCCTAGTTGACCTAGTATTTACTCTACCATTGTCCATTTTCGCCCATCTAGCACCTTCTTGGACAGCCTCAACTTCAGCCTGCAGCTCCCGCTCTTCTTTGATTTTTTTGGCCTTTTCATTGGAGTATCTGGGTGTCATGCCTACATCTGTGAGTAGGCCCGTGAGATGTTTGATTTTCTCTTTAGGGGTTTCAAACTTCGCCAATTCTTTTGACCAGAATTTGCGGATCTAACGCAGCGTTAGAGCGTTTTGACGGCAATCAAGTAGATAGAAGTCATACATACACCACACTTGAGCAACCACTGTTGGAGCGTTTTTATCTTCTCCTCGTCAGGACTGAGATTACTATCTGCCTTAGACTTTTCGACGTTAGCACAGTAACCACCACAATTTCCTTCACATATCACCTACCGATCCCTTCTTCGATCTTTCCTTAGGGCGTGACTTAGTTACTTTGGTTTTCCCTTGTTTTTTACTGCTACCTGCGCCTGGATTTTGAGATCTCGATTTCTTTAGCGGTGCCGGGTCCAATACCACAGACATTTCACTTTCATTTCCAGGGTCTTCATCGACAACCGGGGTTTCCTCTGCTGAAACTTTGCCTTCTCCATTTTCAGCATTTTCTTCCTCTACCGCCACCTCATGCGTTTTCTTAGCCTTTTTAAGGGTAATGGGTTTTGTAGAACTCTTCGTTCTTTTTGCTGCCCTCTTAGGGGACGTATCCAACTCGGAAAATTCGCATTCGCTTGCCTGCTTAGTTGTGTCTTCCCTAGAAGCCTTCGCTTGTACATCTCCATCTTCATCTTCATCTCCGTCTTCAAGTATCGAAGGTTTTGCTATTGCTTTGCGGGTGGTGCTCTTAGCAGAAGTTACACCTTTTTCCTTTTTTGCTGGTTTCTTAGGATATTCAATCGTACTGTCGCCGAGCCCGTCCTCCAATTTTTTTAGTCTCGAAGCTCCCTTCTTAGCAGGTTTCTTTGTGGCCTTGGCTGGAGATTGCTTTTCTGGAGTAGGTTCTTTCTGTGGAATTGGTGGCTCTGCGGCTTCTGCCAAAGCGTTTTGTTTACCCTAAGGGACGCGTTAACTATAAATCAGAAATCGTGAGTATTAATAGCGCTGGGGTGATAAACATACCGCCTCGTCCTCAATGATCGACTTGGATTCTGCTTTCCAAAATGAGTCCCGCTTCAAGAAGTCGTCGCCTAGGCTGAGCTCATTTTCAACGCGGGCTCTAATATATTTGATTGTTGTTCTAGAAGGGTCTTCAGTAAACTGTTTCCGGACGGCATTACGAAGAGCAGTAGTTATAACTCTGGCGTCTGGGGCCGAGTCGATAGAGCTGAGGTCGCCGTCGCTATCCATAGTGATTTTATTCTTCTGGTGGTGTAGAACTCGCTCTCCGGGATCAAGAACCTTAGGACAACTTAATTAAGGAGGATCGGGAATCCGCCCAGCGATGTTTTACGCCAAGAATTTTCCCAATGAGGTTAGACCTAATTTAGAGGGCAAAGAGGGGTGGCTAGATTTTCAGCAGCACTTCCTTGCTGGTTTGAGGCTCTTATCGATAGCTCAAACTAGTCACACAGACGAGGGGCATCTCTTGGGTGCTGCACCGAAAATTCTCCAGAGCCTACCTGCACCGAGAACGAGAAATACAAGCAGCTACCAGTACTGAAACTATTATTTGCATACATTCTCTCACACCTCGTATACCCATCACTCTCTCAATGCTGTCCCCACGACTCTATATTCTCAACGTCGCTAAAGACCCCACGGAAGCGAATAGGATATCAAAAGAGTCCGCAAAACGTGCGTTCAATTGAATACTCAAGATCTTATCCAACCTCAACTAACTCTACGATACAATATTCTAGAAATTCAGGATAAAGAACTCAAGCTTCTGGATCTTGTCCAATCTCTCGGAGAATATTTGACAGACGATGACAAAACTACCAGAGCAAAAGCCATCGGGTACCTCTCTTCGGTTTTGGGGTATTTAGACCCTAAAGCACTATCGCGACAGCAAGGTTTCAATCCCTTCTCTGTGGAAATCCCCCTTACATCGCGTTCTTACGTCAATCTAATATGTTTCGAAGTGGCCGTGATTGCGCAGTTTCTATGCGATCGTTTAGAGGACGAAACCGGTCTTAGGGAAACATCTCAGGGCCTCTTCGCCCTTCAAAAGTCATCGAGATTTGGAAGGGAGGAGGCTACTCTTGTTTCTTCCGCGTATAGAATCCTTATAGCACTGGGCTTTAGTGAACTTGTACAGTAAGGGACTGACATGTACAAAAGCATATGCAAAGTAGATCTACAGAAACACCCGCAGGGAACTCGTTTTGCAGTCTTAACCCTGATTGACAGTTTAATGGCAAACCGACGTGATGGTAAGCTCAGCGGGTTTTGTGGCTGAGAGAGCTTATGTTCTGACAGCTTGGTTATAGTATTAAAGGCCATGGGTGGTAAATTTGTCACTGGCTTTACCGAATTGGTCGGGGGTGAAAAGGATCCACGGAATCTGATGATTGTCTTCTCTCTTGTCAAGGTGATACTCGTTGAGTTTGATATCGTCCCACACATCGAAGTCAGTAATGGATATCCGTCAAATTCTCTCAAGCTAATTTTTATCGCAGATTCTTTTTGATGCGGTTTATTGCTACTTCCCAATAACATTCAAACCACCACCGGACGACCCATATGGGATAACAGCCCAGGACCTAAAGCTTCGGCTTAGAGAGTGTATTGCTTCAACAAAGTACTTTGCAGGACACACATTTCCTCAGCTTATTGAGAAACTAGATTCAACCTCCTTGAGTGTTAAGGTCAGTGTCATATATTTCATTCTATTTCCATTGAAGTGTGGCTTACAACCTGTTGAACCCTATAGAAAGATGTTCTTCAAACTATAACTGCTTGTGCTCTCTCATATGGCCCACAAACAATTTCCACACATTCTACGCAGTTATGGGATGCTGTTAAATTTGAGGTCCTCAATTCCACAGAAGAAGATGAATTGGCAACCGAAGCTTTATTAGCTATCCGAGCTATTGCGGAGACGCTTTCCTTTGGGTTAAAATTCTCAGCTCCCACAGCCTCTCCGTTAGCGAGATATCTTAGTGGCATAGTTAAAGAGTGCCTAAAGCTTCTACAAGAACCCCAGCAAAAACAAGCCAAGCCTGCCGGGAATATCCTATCCAAATCAGCAACAGCCAGCACAGTAGCACACTTGTTCATAGTAGAAAAGACTATGCCGGCACTACTCTTAATACACGGCGATGCAGACAGCCTGGCCAAGCAGCGGGCACTCATGGAGATCTTGAACATGTTGTTTCAGTCTTCTCTTCAAACATTTGGAGCATGGGGAGATTCAACGTCAGAGCAGGTGCACTCAAATCCCTTTACGGAATACATTGACAAGTTATTTGAAATGTATTCGCAAGCGCTTATGGGCAGCTTACGAGAGGAGGTGAGCTTGAGAATCACAGCATTAAAGGGATTGGTTTTGCTATGCACGACCCGGAGGTTGTTTCAAGAGAACGAAATAGGTATGGTTGTGCAATACTTTGATCAGGTTTTGTTAGAAGTCGAAGAGAAAGAGGAAATCAAAGAATTAGCACTCCAAGGATTAAAGGATATCTCGAAGATAAAGCCAAACCTCATAATGGACATAACGTTCCCTGCATTTATGGCACAACTTCCCGATTCTGAAAAGGAAGCAGATCCATCAAAGCCATACACTGCGACGTTGGAAGCACTAGCCAAGTTAAGCTCAGGAAGAGCTGTATTCCAGGTTCTCTTAACTCGGCTTTTGAATAAGCTTGACATCGTTCTCAGAGGTAAAGTAGAAACACACCGGACCGTTCAAGCCACCAAAGCTGATCCAGTGAAAAGAAAAATCTGGCCCAATGTATCCCCGAGCAATCCTTTCCACACTTTTATATGTTCTCCAGAAACAGCCGGAGAGTAATCAGGAAGACATAAAGGCATACTTCGCTCGACTAGTGGTTCCTCTACTCACAAAAACAATAATTCCGATGGTTGATAATACTAGCGAATTTGAGGACTTCCGGATAATGGCGAATGATTCCATTTTGGACGTTACTGGCCGTCTGTTTAACATTATAATTAGATCATTGGAGTTCGAGGAACAAATAAATGTTTCACGACAGCTAATCAATATCTTCGTCCTTGGGATTCCCAGTGAATACATACCCAGGACGCATGCCGAAATTGTTGCACGCGATTTCAAACCTTTACAGCAAACCGCAAACAAAGAACAATCTGGCTGTACTATTTTGCTCACTTATGCATTAGCAGGTTTAAGGCGAGAAGTTTGGCTCCCATGTTCTGGCATTATGTAGAGCAGGAACTAACCATGTGTCATCCAATAGGTAGTATTGGCGGCCCTGTCTACCCCAGAGCTCATTCAACAAAATGTAGAGCTTGCTACCCGAACAGCCCGTTCCACTCAGAGAATGGCACACCTATATCTCATTGCCCTATTGGCAAACAAATGGATGAAAAAGCCAGGGGATTCCGAGCTCCTTCAAAAAATCACGGCTGATCTCTTGGAATCAGTCTCCAGCTCTATATTAGCCTCACGAGAATACGACAACCTAGTTGGACAAAAACTGCAGACTGTCCTTTGGATTACCAAAGCCATAGTAGTTCGAGGTGACAAATATGGAACGGAGGTCACTGAGAAGGTAGTAACATTGCTAGGAGACAAAAATTATGGGCCAATAGCAAGTAAAGGTTTTGTAGTATTGCTCGGCGATGATGAGTTTATAACAAAAAGCAATTATGCTATCATCAGGCCCCTGACAAAACAGAAGATTTTCACGTTTTGTGTGCCGAAAATCGTGGAAGGCTTTCGCACTGCTGATTCAAGTATTCTCAAGAGCCCCACTAATAGAAATCTTGTACTCCCGATCACTCAACTGACTCTCTGTAGCTACCAAACCCAACTATCTTGTTGCACTTTCCAACATCCTAAGGAATATGCCTCCCGCCGTCATCCTCCCAGAGCTTGGAAGACTTCTTCCCCTCCTTCTCCAATCCCTAGATCTTCCTGACCCCAACGTCAAATCAGCTACCATCGAAACCTTACTCATTACCGTCACAGAGTCTGCTGACGCGATGAAGGAGCACATATCATCTTTGAGCGCAAGGCTATTAAATGCCTGTACGAACCGTGAAGAAAACCCGCCGAGGATTAGATCAGCAGCACTGCGGTGCTTGAAGGTCTTTCCTAGAGCTCTTAGGACCGACTTGTTGCTTCCGTATAAAAGACAGGTGATTCGAAGTTTGGTAACCGCCCTCGATGACCCGAAGCGGAACGTCAGGAAGGAGGTAGGCTCGATTCCATTACGAAATTGCTCTATTGCAACACTAACGTCTAAGATTCATAGGCAGTTGACTGTCGGGCGAGGTGGTATTCTTTAGACGAACCGGAGGATTAGGATAGATTTGAACTATGTTGGAATTCCTGCGTCTTCCTTAGACAATATAGCGTTACCCCAGTGTTAAATGAGGCCTCAGAAGAGGCTTTCTCGACTCTAGTAACGTGACTGCACCATTTTATTGTATTTCGTTAAGCCTGGGTGTTTGCTCTACCACTAGGCCTTGGGTTTCAACTCCGTATATTTATGGTCAGGGGAGGTTAGCTGAATATCGAGTGAGTGAGTGTGATTCTCGGCGTATTCAAAGCCGGTAGACTACCGGTGACTCCTTAACTTATGTGTCACTACTATATCATAATTCCATTTCTCTAGTGGAATATTCCGGGCTGCCATGGTATTCCGGAAGTCAATAATGAAGGATGTTCAAATCATCCGTGACTTTTAGGGTTGGGGTCAGAATTTCCAAGCGGTGTTTGATTTTACTAAGGACGTGTTTGATACAACCGTTCCCTTCCATTGCCCCATACAAAGTGACAGTTTCAAAGCGAAAGGACGTGCATTTTTATATTTATATGTATGACTAATCAATGCAATCTATGCTGGTTATGGAACAGTTGCAGTGTTGTCAACCAGGCCAAAAGGACCCAAAAGTACCGTGCTGAGAACTACCACGTAAGCATTTTTGAGAACGTGCCTTGAGTTCAGGACACACTTGCGCACTTCCAAACTTGATGCTTTTTTCGGGATATAGCAGCAACATTCTGAGCCATTCAACATCGTAACGATCCCCACGCCTCCACTTGAATCTCCTCCTCTTAACTCCTTTCCCTTTTACCTGAACTTGATACCCGAAGCTGAGGAGAAGACCCTCTTCTGCCTAGTGTATTCCTCCTCTTACGTCTTGAAATACCTCCCCCCCTTTCCTTTCTAGCCTCGACCCCTCCCCCTAACCGTCCACCATGCAGTCTATGCTTACCAAGGTATTATTTGCTCTGTGGATCTCCAGTAGAAAGAATGAAATCACTTATTCCACGAAATAGTTCGAATCCAAATCCTCACGAGCGAAAGGCATTGCATTTCATCCTAAACGGTTGCTCTCCCCGCCGTCTTTCTTTCCACGGTGCCATCGTTTTAATAATTTGTCACTTACTGATTTTGTGAAATTGAAACTAATCCAGGCCATGGATTCTTGTCTCACTTCACACCTCGACAATCCAGCTTTGGGATTACCGTATGGGAACGCTGATAGATCGGTTCGAGGAGCACGATGGACCTGTTCGAGGGATTGATTTCCATTGCACTCAACCGCTTTTCGTATCGGGGGGTGATGACTACAAGATTAAAGTCTGGTCCTATCAGACCCGCCGCTGCTTGTTTACCCTGAATGGACATCTCGATTATGTTCGGACCGTATTTTTCCATCACGAGCTTCCTTGGATTCTGTCCTCTTCGGATGATCAAACGATCCGAATATGGAATTGGCAGAATCGGTCGTTGAGTATGGAGCTCTATGCTTTTGGGGGTGGACTTGCGATTTTTTGTGGGTTCTCTGCTGATAGTGCCCATTAACTTAGTTTGCACAATGACTGGTCATAATCATTACACTATGTGCGCCCAGTTCCACCCCAAAGAGGATCTAATTGTCAGCGCTTCTCTAGATCAGAGCGTCCGCGTATGGGATATCTCAGGGCTACGGAAGAAGCATTCGGCACCCACTTCAATGACATTTGAAGATCAGATGGCCCGCGCAAATGCCAACCAGGCAGACATGTTTGGGAATACGGATGCAGTGGTGAAGTTTGTGCTGGAGGGTCACGACCGGGGTGTTAATTGGGTCTCCTTCCATCCTACCTTGCCATTAATCATCTCAGCTGGTGATGACAGGAATGTAAAGTTGTGGAGAATGAGTGGTAAGTGACGAATGGCGTAAACTCAGATTCACTAGGAGCGCAAGAAGCTAAGATGCTACTTGTATAGAAACCAAGGCTTGGGAAGTCGACACCTGTAGAGGCCACTTTCAAAATTCATCAGCTTGTCTCTTCCATCCTCACCAGGATCTGATCCTATCAGTAGGGGAGGACAAAACGGTTAGAGTTTGGGATCTGAATAAGAGGACTGCGGTCCAGTCTTTTAAACGGGAAAATGATAGATTCTGGGTCATTGCCGCTCACCCGGAAATTAATCTCTTCGCGGCTGGTCACGATAACGGTGTGATGGTCTTCAAGCTAGAGCGGGAGAGACCGGCATATGCGATTCATCAAAACAACCTCTTCTTCGTCAACAAGGAGAAGCATGTACGGTCTTTTGATTTCACACAAAATATTCAGAGCCCTTCTATGTTGTCCTTGAAGAAATTGGGCGCACCTTGGGTTCCGCCAAGAACATTGTCTTACAATCCCGCTGAGCGTTCGATTTTGGTTACGTCTCCTACGGACGGAGGAACCTATGAGCTTATCAATTTACCAAAGGATGCTTCTGGCGCCGTTGAGCCAACTGACACTAAGCGAGGCACCGGAAACTCCGCGGTATTCGTTGCCCGGAATCGTTTTGCGGTCTTCAATTCAAGTTCCCAAACTATTGATATCAAAGATCTCTCGAACTCTACTACTAAGACGATCAAAACACCTACCAACATCAATGATATATACTTTGGCGGCACAGGTTGTCTATTGCTTTGCGCACCCTCGACTGTCATTCTCTATGATATCCAACAGAAGAAGACTGTTGCTGAGTTGGCTGTATCTGGTGTTAAATACGTTGTGTGGTCAAACGATGGGCTCCACGCGGCGTTACTTTCAAAACACAATGTTACTATTGTTACGAAAACTCTTGAACAGGTTTCTTCTCTCCACGAGACTATCCGTATTAAGAGCGCGACCTGGGATGATGTCGGTGTGCTTTTATATTCCACCCTGAACCATATTAAATATACTCTTTTGAATGGGTACGCTATCTTACCCCCATATGAGCGTATGCCTAACAATAATATTCTTGCAGTGATAATGGGATCATTCGTACTTTGGGTGAGACTATATACCTTACCAAAGTTAAGGGGAGAAGTTTGTTCTGCCTTGACCGCCAGGCAAAACCAAAGCTTTTGGACATTGATCCTACCGAATATAGGTTCAAGCTTGCTCTAGTCAAGAGGAATTATGATGAGATGCTTTCTATAATTAAGACTTCCAACCTTGTTGGACAAAGCATCATCTCTTATCTCCAAAAAAAGGGATACCCGGAGGTGAGTGATAGATTATGATACACTCTCGAGTTGGGGCGATGCTAATCTTCCTAGATTGCCCTCCAATTCGTGCAAGACCCTCAGACTAGATTCGAGCTGGCGATTGAATGCGGGAATCTCGAGGTTGCGGTTGAAATGGCCAAGGAGCTAGACCGCCCAAAGCTCTGGACCAGGCTTAGCGCGGAGGCTCTAAGTCAGGGTAACCACCAGGTCGTCGAGATGGCCTACCAGAAACTCCGGAACTTTGACAAACTTTCGTTCCTATATCTTGTCACTGGAGACACAGAGAAGCTCAACAGAATGGCAAAGATCGCCGAGCACCGCAATGACTATACTGCCAGATTCCAAAATGCTATCTATCTCGGGGATGTGGAGACTAGGATCCAAATGCTTAAGGAGATTGATCTATGTAAGAGTTTCTTTTGCTTGCTACTCTAATGCGCTAACGTTTGCTCGCTGCAGATCCTCTTGCATATGTGACCGCTAAAGCCCATGGACTTAACGAGGAATGCGAGGCAATTCTCGAAGCTAGTGGCCTAACAGAGGAGGATATCAGGATTCCTGAGATTAGCGTACCCATCCCACCCCCCAAAGCCATAGTTCCCACACATCAAAAGAACTGGCCTCTCCGGGCTGCTTCCCAGTCATTTTTCGAGAAGGCTTTGTTGGGTCAAGTCGAGTCAATGACGATTGAGGATGAAGCACCTTCTGGAACGAACGGCTTTGCTATGGATGAAGGTGCTGTTGATGGCAAAGGGTTCAATGGAGATCTCTTGGATGTGGAGGGAGAAGAAGATGCCGCAGGATGGGATATGGGAGATGACGATCTCAACCTGGAGCAAGTCGGTGAACTTGCTGTTGAAACCGACGGTGCTGGTGTTGGTATGAGTGAGGCAGAGTTATGGGCAAGAAACTCACCAATTGCTGCCGATCATGTGGCAGCAGGATCATTCGAGACCGCCATGCAGCTTCTAAATCGCCAAGTTGGTGCCGTAAATTTTGAACCTCTAAAGCCAAGATTTATGGAAATTTACCAAGCTAGCAAGACCTACCTACCCGCAACCGTTGGCCTTCCTCCATTAGTCAACTATGTTAGGCGTACTATTGAGGAGACAGACTCCAGGAAAATCTTACCTGCCATTCCTAGGGATTTGGAGAGTGTGCGCACCAATGGCCTACAGAAGGGATTCGCTGCGATGAAGGCCAATAACTTAGAGGAAGGGGTAAAAATCTTTAGGGGCGTTTTGCATAACCTAATCTTAGCCACTGTGCAGAACAAGTCAGAGATTGAAGAAGTTGGTCTCTCACACCTGTGCGTCGTACAATTGCTAACTCAATCTCGACTGATAGGCAAAAAGGATTATACGCACTGCTACGGAGTACATCATCGCTATGTCAATTGAATTGGAGCGTAGGGATATCGCGACCGACGAATCCCAGGCCAAGCGTAACTTAGAGTTGTCAGCATACTTTACCAAACCCATCCTTGAGCTCCCTCACAGACAGATTGCTCTCATGTCTGCGATGAAGCTAGCGTACACAAAAAAGAACCATGTCCTCGCTGCACACTTTGCATCTCGGGTGTTGGCTAACAGTAGCCAAGGAAAGAATGCTGAGAATGTAGGTTCTTACGATAAGCGAGTGACATTTTGTGACTTTACATACACTAACGGTTTGAAGGCGCGCAAAATCAAGGCCGTATCAGAGCGTAGTGGACAAGACGCCATTGAGATTGAATACGATCAGTTCGCGGAGTTTGACATCTGCGCGGCTTCCTACACCCCTATATATAGTGGGCAGCCATTTGTACAGGATCCATTTACGGGAGCAAAGTACCACCCGAGGTACAAGGGAAGCATATGCAGGGTTAGCCAAGTTACAGAGATTGGAGCACCGGCTTCAGGGCTCAGGCTATTGGCTCAATAAATATCTGTAGGTTGGGTTAGAGTGGTTGGGGCGGGCCGGGAACGGTATAAAAAAAGGAAAGGTCGTCATCGTATTTTTCTTTTCCTTGATTTCGTGATCGGCAATGTTTAATAGGCGAACTGGACATTTGTGGTTTGTCTGTTTCCTGCTATTTTTTACTTCACTGTTAACAGAGGTTTTCTTTCTTTCTTTTCACTCGTCTTTTTCTCCATCGGATGACTTTTGATGGAAGCCCCGCCCTCTGCCTCCTCGGCGGTTTTACGGCTGAAAATGAAGTGTCTTGCGATTTGTGTAAAAGTGTACCGATATCTTAAGGGGGTAAATGTAAAAGCATATAAAAATGAATGAAATTGAGTGCGGCTAGACTTTCCGAACGCTATGGCTCGGTTGTGTCCAAGGCCTCTTCAATGGGAAGTGGTACAGCACCCACCATCCTCCTCTTTGTCCGTGGTGTCACTCAAGTGCCAGCAGGACCATCCCAGTCCAGCCCGGTCCAATGCAGTCACGAGGTCAATTGCTGGTCCCAAAACCTCCCCGTCGGCCCCTCCGTCTCCATCCATTCAGCACATGTCTTTTCCCTACCGAAAAGCTGCAGATTCAGAAACCACGATCAATCCCCTTAGTTATTTAGTTCGTTTGTTTTCCTTTCGGCTTCCCGCGGGAAGCTGCAGGATAGAGGACCAGTATATAGATGGTGAGGTAACAGAATCTGTGATATATCGTCTACTAGTCACTAAATCTGCCAAGGATATGAGGGACTACCATATGGCACAGTGCGATGGAAGGGGGAGGTACTCCGTATGCATGTGATGAGGGATATTGAGAATCCATCCTGTCCTGTGGAATGGAGTGGAGTGGAGTGCGGTAATCTGGTGCTACGAGTAGTCTAGATAGTTGGGACTATTACACTCACGTCACGCCAATACCGGTCGGTAGGTTAATGCTGTTACCAGCGTATAGTAGTATAGATATGGTAAACCATCCCTTGGGGGGAGGCGCCTATTCACGACAATTTGCTAGCTTGCCATAGCACTGGTGCACTATTACGCCGACGGTGCCTATCAAACCAGTAAGATACTTCACACGAGTGGGTGGGCGGGAGTGCTCGTAATGTGGAAGCGTTTTTCAAAAGGACTGCTATTGCATACCACCAAAATTTGACCCTTTTTCTTGGATCTGGGTAGTGTGCGAGTACGATGGCAGTTATTTTTATGAATGCTTCGACACTAAGAGTACGGATAGCGGCTCATGCATGGCATCTGCGGTGGGGGGGAATAGGAAAGCGTAGAACAGCGTTGTGCTCGAGTGCAAATTTGCGGTACTGTACAGTGCTGTACGCTACCGCATTGTAATAGGGTGAAACGGCCTGAAAGGTTTGGTGGGTACCTGCCTTATCCTTTATCTGGTGGGCTGATTGGAGGGGAGGGGTCAAGGAAGGGAGAGGGAGTTAGATGGTAGGGGCGAAGGAAGTGTTTTCTTCTTTTTTTTTCGCTTGCGGATTGATCGCTTCTGTTTTTTTTCTTTTTTCTTTTTTTTTTTTTGACGAGCGGGAGAAGGCGGATGCATGGGAAGGGGGGGGTCTTGGTGCTGTGAATGTGGTTGTGATAGGGAATGTTTGCTGTCTTGGTGGAGTGGGAGGTGTGGGCTTTGGTAGCGCAATAAGCTCCTGGTTGGTATAGATTTAATAGAGTACCGTAGCGAGTCTTGAGGTTGCTGGGGTTAACTTCATTGCACGGTAGATTGTCACTCTGTGGGGATGTTCGATTGTTAGAACAGTGCGGTACTATACAAGTACTTTACTGTACTTAGCACAACACTCGAGCAGGAGTAGGTAAACTATTTACCGCACAGTACCTCCGGTACTTTGCGGATTATTATACTCAGGTACTCTACGAGCACATTTTCACGGGTAGCTATCTTATCGGCATTTGATTGTCGCTACTGCAAAGGTATCGTGGTTTGAGTTGACAGCAGTTGCAGCACTGTGGGATGTTGAAGGATCCACATACGATTCCAAGGGATGTCATAACTGTAGAAGTACTGCGCGTGGTAGTGAGCATTCCATACACTATCGGGCCGCCTACCGTGACCCAGTCAGCCACGCGAGCATGTCTACTCGTAGATAACCACTCCAGGTGTGATATCGTGCATCACCCATATGATACTGTGGCTCTATGGGTAAAACCACCTCCGCGTGTACCAGCGGTCCCAGCGGTGTATTATAGCTCGCGGATCGTTGAGTTAACCCCCTAACTTCCGGGCCCGTATCTCCCAAAAATAACCTAACTATCCATATGATATGGATGACGCTGATATACTGCATCAGCAAGGGAGAAAGCCTTCAAAATCCAAGCACTCTTCTAGAGCGTCACATCATCACACCGGTAACACCACATCGTGCGCAAATTGCATTCGGGGAAATTCCGTCCTCCGCGGATTCGAACCTATTATACTACCTCCCCTTCCCTTTGTTCCGGCAAACCAGCCAAGCCCGTTACACTCCTACGGTGGGTCACCCGTCTTGTACCATACTCTATGGTTACTGCACCGTATCCGCGCTCACTGCACGCGTTATGGATCCCGCCTCCTTTGGGCACTAAATAGTGAAATACCAAAGGCTCTCCCCTTTCCTTGATCCAAGAGATCCTAACGATGCACGTGCAGAGAGAGACATCTCGGCACCATTGTGGAGTGAGATGTCCATTGCCTTTTTTTCGCTTAGTTTAACTTTATTTTGTTTCCAGGGGGGGGGACGCCGGTACCGTACACTTAAGTAGTCTACCGGTACTTGTGTTTGGCTGGTGGGGGGTGGGGGTGGAGAGATGGGTGAGACAGGGTTTTGGGATTTGGTCGGTGAATGATGGGCCGGGAATTTATATATTGTACAAAAAAAAAGGTTGACTTATTGGGGGGTTTTGCGATATAAGTCTGGGCGAGGGCTAGTATGAGCAGGATATAGGAGAGGTGTGATTGTCGTGGTAGTTGCGGATGCACTGTCGAATACTCGCACAAGGGAATACTAGAGTGAGTTCGTATTTTATTAATTGGGCAAGCCGGGGTCACTAGGATGTAGATATTTGAGTACGAGTTGCGGGGTTCGCGTTTCTCATCCTAGGAATCTGCCATTAGTCATCACTCCTCGCCCTTGAACTTCAACTTTACTCCTCCTCGGGGACTGTTCCTCTGCAGGACTTGTAATTGTTTCTCACAATCACAGAAAATCGACTATTCCAATGTTGCACAGTATCGTGCATTATAGCATTATAGCATTCTATGTATTATACACCTTGAAGTTGAAGTAGCCCCCATACCAGTGCTATCTCCAGCCTATTCCCACACTAGTTTGTGGCCTCCCCATTGGAAATGCCCACTTCATCTTCAAGTGTTTGCTATAGGAAGAAACTATGTACCATGTCACCCCGTTACCAAAGCCTAAGCGAGATACTCGAGTACTGCAAGGCACCACCCCACTAAACCCGGATAGTTCACAATTGATTTCCCCTGTCCTATTTCGGGGCATCTCTTCCTATTCTTTTCACTTCTTCGGGGGCTAGTAGTAACTGTGGTATAATAGTAAGGTAGGCTTCTTGAAACGAGCGTCTATCGAGATAAGGTACTCTGGTCGGGAGAGGGGGAACAGGTGATCCTTAATCCGGCAGCCGGGTGGTAGTCTGTACTGTGTCAGCGGAGTCGGCAGCTGTCGATAACCACGAGTGTCTGCCTTTCTGCCTGTCCGTCTCCGTTCCAATTCCCATGCTAATGCCAAGCAACTTCGTCGAGAGATATGGGAGGAAGCGTTCTTGCGGCGGAGAAGGGCATAGTAGTATCATACATTACGCCGGTATCCAGTCTAGCACACCCACCGACTCCTTATCAGCCTTTCCTAAATGGGAATTTCGGGGGAGAAAATCTGCTTCCTTTGAATTCAGCTGAGCTGTGGAGGAGAGTCTGTACAAATAAGCTGGACATCCTCGTTTCAAAGGGCTCCAGTTCCCGCTAGTGGCTTTTCTATTTTCTTGCTGGTAAAGGTTTTGATAGTATTCACCCTAGGGTACCGCCCTTCTATAGCATCCAAGAGCTTGAATTAAGGATATAAAAAGCCTTTTGGAAACCCACACTCCTTTGTTCCTCCAAGATACCCTCTCCCCACATCCCCACCCCTCTCCCCCATTTCTCCTCCCATAACTTCCTTCCTTCCCTTTCACTTTCCTCTGCCTTCTTCCCCAAATTCATACAAGGGTCCTTCCTACCCACAAAAGGAAGGCTACCAGCCACCTACTCCACTGCATCCTCTCCTTCTCCTTTCCTAAGACACTTATTTTGTTTCTTTTATATCGGTTTTCCTTATTAGCATTTTTCTCTTTAATCTTTGAGCGAGATGTTTGGGCGAACTTCTTTGGTTTCCGGCTCCGTTGTCGCTGCATTAGCGCTCACTACATTTATCCCGCAGGCGGCTGCTTTCTGGCGCTTGACATGCCTAAACAAACTTCTGGTTGAGCGGAATGATCCTATTGTCAATCCTGGGGCCGTGTCAGGGCACCTGCACACTGTTATGGGAGGCAATGGGTTTAATTTTACTATGGACTACGAGAAAGCTCGGGCTTCCACCTGCTCTTCCTGCACTATTAAGCAGGATCTTAGTAATTACTGGATTCCTAATGTTTTTTAGTGTGTACCTCTTCTAGGGTATATATGTCTTGCTTGTCCTGATAGGTGCTAATATGTGGGCTCTCTGCTCCCTCATAGTCAAGCTAAGAACGGGTCTTTCTTCCCTGTTGAACAGATTGGTGGTGCGACCATTTATTATCTGTAAGTCTTCTAAAATGAATAAACATGACCAGAAATTTTATGCTAATATTTGTCAGACAACGTCGTGATCCCCCTGATGAGAAGTTGAAGGCTTTCCCTCCTGGTTTCCGTATGATCGCTGGAGATCCGTTGCTTCGTCACAACACTAGTGTTAGTGGAAGAACCGACGCTTTTACCTACATCTGCCTCGACTATAGCGGCGGCTCCAAGGGGATGAAGGAGAGATATACCGAGTTCCCTAACCGCAACTGTCCTAGGTACTTCCCTCTTTCTCTGTGATATATCATGATATCTTGCTAACATTCTCTCGAGCGGTCTCCGTGTCCAAATCTTCTTCCCGTCATGCTGGAACGGCAAGGACCTCGATTCCCCGGACCACAAAAGCCATATGTCCTACCCCATCAACGTTAACTTCGGGAAATGTCCCTCCACACACCCCGTGAAGTTTGTATCAATGTTCTACGAGGTCATCTTCAACACCAACGCTTTCAAAGACCAATGGTATGACAACAAGCAGCCATTTGTCCTGTCCAATGGCGATCCAACCGGGTATAGTTTGCACGGCGATTTCTTCAATGGATGGGACATTGGCGCTCTCCAAAGGGCGATAGATACGTGTAATTCGGCGTCTGGTGCTGCGGAGGAGTGCAGTGTGTTCAAGTTCTTCGACAAGAACCAGTCTCAGGATTGTATGGTGCCCCCAAGGATTGAAGAGCAGACCACGGGGTGGTTGGAGAAGCTTCCCGGGTGTAACCCGATCCAACCCGGTCCTGCGCGCGCTGTTAAACATACCAACTGTGGCTCCCAGGAGACTATTGGGGCGCCCATGAAGTACTATACGGACGTTTCTGCTAAGAATTGGGAGTACGTTGGATGTGTCATGTATGTATATCACTTTATATCCATAACACCCCCCATATTGATAATGGTGATGACAATGATGCTGACTGGGTGGGATAACAGGGACAGCTTGACCTCTCGTACATTCCCCGAGAGGGAGGACTTCAACGACCTCACGGTTGAGAAGTGCATCGACTACTGCGCGAGCAAAGGCTTCAACTGGGCTGGTATGGAGTACGCAAGAGAATGCTATTGCGGAAAGTCCGCTCCGCCCCAGGACCGGATGGGGTACGCCAGGTGTACTACCCCCTGTGCCGGGAACGACAAGCAGTTCTGTGGTTTTGCGCAGAGACTCTCAACATATAAGGCTAAGGGGCCAAGTTCCAATACTTTCGGGACCCCATAAATATCCACCGTCACCACCTCGGCCGTCAACGTCCCGCCATAGATCTCGTGGGGGGACCAAGTAACTGTGAGAAAGTTTTCTGGCTTTCGCTTCTTTTTGTAGTATAATTTTGTGGTAATGTTTTTGTCCTTCCCAATTACCACCCATTTTTGTTAAAAGAAAACACCTCGTTGTCCCTCTCCCTCCATGTGAGTGTTGGGTTGTTCCGGGTTTTCTCGATTTTATTCTCTTTTGGTTTGGCGGGCCTTCCTTATAAATGATATACACATACACATCTATTCCACTTTGGCAGTTATATAAACCTCCGGGGGTGTTTTCCTCGGGGCGTTCGCTTGTGTTGGAAGGGCCTGGGAAAGGTCCTTTCCTTAGCTGGAAATGCATGATTGAAAAGAAGCCCGACGTGATAAATGTTTCAAATGTTGTGATGCAAACAGGAAAGCTATGATATCTACATATATGGAACCCCATGCTTACTTGATTCGGATCAAAAAAAACACCCATTCGCTCACTTACCCCACAAGGTGCTCGCGACTGAGCGAGTTTGAAGGATGAAAAAAAGGGCTCAATTTAGTTCCACTGTTCTCATTTCTCGGTCCCGGAACGGGCAGCAGAATGCCGCTGCTAAGAGCATTGTTTATTGAATTTGATCGAAACGAGTGATACAATGTGACCGCGCCACTTGTTTCTCATTGTTACAATATGCGGGATGAGAAGGCAGGTATGTGATTTTGTCGATTGATTGAAGAAGGAGTAGAAAGTGTAGGTGCCGATAAAGGAGAAAAAAAGACCATCCCTACTTAAGGAAGCGAATAGTAACAGCGAATCAGTACACAATCCGGGAAAGCATCGAGATGTAGGAATACATACGTGGCCAATAACATACCCCTTTTCCTACGACAAGTATACAACACCACGCGGCGGGGAAGCCCCAAGTATGCAACGACAAAAGCAACATTCTGATATGTTGGCACTCGTGATGCCCTACTTGAAATCTGGTCACGATGCTCTGGATGAGATTACCACAAACCACGAATATTGCGGATAGTACTTCCCCGTTATACACCTCACGTGTTCATGTGCCTGATGGCCTCCGGTCGTAAATCTGTAATCTGCAACCCCATCTCCAAATTCTAGCTTTCTCACAGCTAAAGGTGCCTTCCTTCATCAGATATCTAAGTTGTGGTTACTCCTTTGCGCACGGTGGGATCTTTTCGTTAGATGTCATTGGGCAGCGTTCACAATTTACCCTTCTTTGAGGATGTGCCTGCTCGGGTATGATAGTTCATTCAACTTTAGGATTTAGTAATAATAATATTATCTATCCGACTATAATAGTTGAATTGTTTTGAAACAACCTTTTACTTGGCCCAAACTCCGTACAGATGATGAATTCTCCTAGGGCCCGAGTTGCTTACATCCTCAATTATCTCTTCACTTCCATTTGTGATATATGTATCATATCTCAATGAACACGTTACAATTCCTACCCTACCCATATATATACCACAAATTACCACCACCGCAATCCACCTCAATCCACCACAACCGCACCATCTCGACTTACCACAGCCCATCACCACAACACCGATCAAAGCTTTTCAACATGTCCACCACTCAAACTCTCGAAACCGAAACTCCACCCTGTCCTGAGGACATTCAAGGAATTCTTAAGGATATCGCAGACCTCCTCTGCCCAGCCCATCAACACAAAATCACAGATCCTTACATCTTCCCAGGCGAGAAGATAAGGCATAGCATGGTTATCACCTGCCGCCGAGAGAGCGACATTGTGTGGCATGTAGAGATGTCGGCAGACTGTCTGGAGAAGGTGATTAGCCGCTGCAGGGTTGTTTCCGCCTCAAATCGTAAGTTCATATACCGTATGTGTAAACATCTATTATATTCTGTTTTCAAAATGTTGCCCAGGAACTGACTTGGAAAACATTGAAACGAGTATAGTGGACCAAGGGTGCCCGAATATGATTTTTGAACCTCTCGCCACCTGGGAGGGGCCCCAGTGTGATGACATCCTTTGGCTTCTCGGCATTGGACATCTCGAGCATGATTGGTGGGAGTACAATCCATCGCGCTTGAGTGATCAGCGTGGGAGTAATAGGTAACTTACTGCTTTTCACTTCTCCATTCCCCCCCCCTTATTTTCTGCTCCTCCAGCTTTTCGATTGCTAGGTGGAACAAATAAACAATAGCTGTTAGGAATCCCTCGCTAACAACGGTCCTAAAAACAGAAGAAATATTGGTATTACCGGATCTGGCGCGTCCGGATCTCACAATTATATCGCCAACTCCAAGCCCACCCCCAATCTGCCTCTTCCATTCCCCGAGAGTGAAGGTGAGGATTTCCATGATGGACTGTCTAACTCGGAGACCGATTCATAAAGATAGGATGGTTCCGACTACGACCAAGTAACTGCTCAAATTAGTTAGAGTTCATGGGTTTTTGTTTCACACGATTAGCCTGACAGTTGACTTGTAATTAGGCGAAGCCCAATCATATACTGTACTCGTACCCAAGTGGCCAGTTTGAAATTAGATGGTGGCTAAGTGAGCCTTGCGATAGGGACCTCCGATTTCAATCCGGCCGCTTGAGTAGTTTACCTCCCACTCCACTTACACTTCATGTTGCTCTTATTAGCTAGGCTTCATGGTTTAGGGTTATCGCAATAGTGGAAGGTGGCCAAAAACATTGCCTCTGGGTTTGGCTATCATAACTATTTTAGTCATGTATGCTAAGCTAGGGTTACTGTAATAGTGGAGAGTGGCCAAAAAAAAAAAAAAAATACTCTGACATCAACTATCACTCATGAACTCTGGGTTTGATTTGATTAAATTTTGATTTTTTAAAAATAAAAAAATTTTACCCGACAATTTCACAATAATGTATATGGGATTGCCCCCCAATTATGCTACTCAATTTTGTTTTTATATTCATTAAATATTTTTTGATATTCTACAAACCGTATTCAGTCCAAGAAAACATGCCCTTTTCCACACATTTCTTTCGCCCATTCATGACATTCTGCGGCATTCCTTGTAATATAATGATGTCTAACGCTAGATGAAAAACTAGAGATCTGCTTGCCAGTAGGACGGCCTAGACAAGCGTTCGTTCTCGCCGTGACGTTACGTGAATGTCGAGAACCAATTAGCCCCTGCACAATTAGCAGGGGCCCAGGGGTTCAATTCCCTCACATACCGAGCTATCATTGAGCGATCCGTCACGCGGAGCAGGGGAATTAAGGATTCTTGCCTTGTTGGAACGGGGAGACTGAGGACCATGGCCTTTCTCAATGAGGCGATAGGGAGAATCAGACCCGTCACGATGTGGTGGAATCCGACTCCAGATTATGATATACCCCTCTCGTAAGGGCTCGGTCCGCGATCGGCGGGGTATCATATGATTCATAGCAGAGGGAGAAGAGAAAAGAAACACAATCGTACTCTTACCTCTGCCCCGGAATAGCAACAGCAATTCCTTAATTCCCACTGTCCGTCTGAGCCATCTCCCGGCCTGCGGATGCTTCATCGAAACATCCTCCCCCTTTTGGGCTTATTAGAAGAGCTTGGTAATTGACAGTGCGCCCCATTCGAAGCTTGTCTTTCACTTTTTTCCTCTCTGCCAACAGAAGACCGCAATCCAGTGCGGCATCTGGCGACATTATGGGAAATGGCTGTAAAGTCACCGCATGGACTAGGTAAAACGGAAGCCTTCACCCAAGCGAGGAACTCTCCTCCGGGTATTCCTAACCTCACGGCATAAGATCCAGCTTATCGAATCAGATAGTATCAGTAGCTTGGGATTTCCCTCCTCTGGAGAGTACACACACGATTCATTCATTCATTCTGGTTTTTTGTCCAAGAAGAGGTCATATTGGATCGAAAACCAGTTACCGCACCTTCGGTATCGCGTCAAACTTGCAAAAAAAAAAAAAAAAGACCTCGAGCATATCCCCAGAGCAAAGACTTTGAGTACTTGTAGTCACCTAAGGTCTCAAATCTCCTTGGGGCTGTGGCGACATCAATGGCTTAGGGGCCAAGAACCGGTCATTAATAACATTTACAGGGAAGATTGGGGGCTCGAGTGGGAGGGTGGGTAAATCATAAAAGTTGTGATAGTATGATAATATTATCATAAAAAGGATTGAAAAAAAGAGGGGAAAAATCAGACCCAGAGAGCTTTATATAAAGTTCGCGGGAGGGGCCTCAGGAACGGGAGTGAAGCAGCCGGTAGGTATGATATCATGGAGAGCAAGCACCCGACTATAGAAACCCTCTCGAGTGATATAATATGAACGTGCACACCCACCTGCCCCCGCCCATACCGGGGGGCCGACCGTACCACATTGCAGAATTCCCCAGGATATGGTATGCGGCAACGCTATGACGCTGCATGGCCGTCACACTCGCACCCAGATTCTCGATACAAATTAACCAAATGTAAATCCAAGAAAAGATGTATCCTCCTTAAAACCGGGGAGCAAACCACCTTTAGGATGAAAACCATCACACAAAAATTTAATATAACACTTTGCACAGCTGCCATTACTACGAATAAAGGTCGCGAACTCTGCAGGAAGGCTAAATGCAGCCAGTGTTTTCGGCCATTTAAGAACCTCTTAGAGAGCGTCTTTAGTAATTGGGACAAAAAATTATTTTCATTTCTAAAGTTACTTGAGAGGATTCAAAGACTTCAATTCTTTTATCTTCAGTAATTTGTCTTTAGGACCCATCGAGGTGAGAAGACTATTGAACCCCCGATCGGGCATGAAAAATCTTTGATCTTTGCAAGAAATGGCTTTTCTTTGGATTTCTCCCCCATATAGGGCTAAATACAGAAAACACATATGACCTTTTACACAAGTATTTCGCATATGCTCCTACCGAATATCGCGGCACATGGACTTATTTAAAGCCCAATGGAGAATCAATTAATATTGTTCACGAAATGAAGTTCTTTAAGCTTAAACTGTATAATAGGGGAA